ATGTCCAGGCCCATTCGTTGGCCTATTGTCCATGGCAGCTTCCTGCTACCATAGCAGAGTTGAGTACTTGGGACAGGGACCATACGGCCTCCAAAGCTCAAAATATGTAATCCATGTTCCCTTACTGAAAAAGTTTGCCAGCCCTTCTTTTATTTTATGTATTATTTAATTGTTTTTTTTTTTTTTTTTAAAGACAGAGTCTCTCTCTGTTACCCACGCTGGAGTGCAATGGCCCAGTCATGGCTCTCTGCAGCCTTGACCTCCTGGGTTCAAGCAATCGTCCCAGCTCAGTCTCCTAAGTAGCTGGAACGACAGGCACATGCCACCACACCTGGCTAACTTGGTTTTTTTTTGTTTTTTTTTTGTTTTTTTTTTTTTTGTGGAAACAAAGTCTTACTATGTTGCTCAGGCTGGTTTCAAATTCCTGGCTTCAAGTAGGACCTTCAAGGAGGTCCCACCTCGACCTCCCAAAGTGCTGGGATTACGGGTGTGAGCCATCACGCCCAGCCTCCAACCCCTGTTTTGAAGTTACGTCCTTACATATTTACAGAAGAAATGATGTGATGTTTGGGATTGCCTCCAAAATAATGCTGGAGGGGGGAAATGGGTGGGAGGTGGAGGCAAAGATGAAACAAGGATGGCTATGGGTTGGCTATCATTGAAGCAGAGTGCCAGGGACATGGATGTTCATTTTATTTTTACGTCTACTTTCGTATGTGTTTGAAATTTTCCACATAACAGTTTTTAAAAAGGAAAAGGAAAACAAAAGAGATCGTGCGTTTTAACAAAAGAGGTTAGACAGAGGAGGAGGAACTAAGGCGAGGGCCTGAGAGGAAAGGCCAGAGGCCCAGGAGAGAAACCAGGTGAGTATGGTGTCCTTGAGGTCAAGTGGAGAAGGAGGAGGGTCACTAAAAGCTGCTATAGAGGGTCAAGTCCAGTGAAGACTTGGAACTGCATCACCTGGCTCTCAAGTGGCCCATACCCCAATTATGTGACACCACCCTCTTTCATTATTTGTTTTTCATTTGTTTTTGTTTTTGAAATGGGGTCTAACTCTTTTGCCCAGCCTGGAGTGCAGTGGTGCGATCTCAGCTCACTGCACCCTCCACTTCCCAAGCTCAAGCAATCCTCCCACCGCAACCTCCTGAATAGCTGGATCTACAGGCATGCACCACCACACCTGGCTAATTTTTGTATTTTTTGTAGAGATGGGGTTTTGCCATTTTGCCTAGGCTAGTCTGGAACTCCTGGGCTCAAGCAAGCCGTCCAACTCACTTTTGTAAAGTGCTGGGACTACAGGCGTGAGCCACCATGCCCAACTGGTATTTTTTAAATGCTTTAAAAAAAGAGATGGGATCTGGCTATGTTGCCCTGGCTGGTCTCAAGCTGCTGGCCTCAAATGATCCTCCCACCTCAGCCTCCAGGCTCACTGGGATTACAAACACAAACACCACGCCGTGCCTCTTTCAGTATTAACAGGAACTTTCCGTATTAAAGGAAATGCATAATGCACGCTCATGGTCTCCTGAAATTATTTATAGGCATCCCAGCATTCTTTAATACAAATTTCCCCCGTATTGTGTAACTTGTTATGGAAATGGATTATTTTTCCCCCAAGGGGACGTCCACAACCAGCTTTGAAAACAATTATGCTCATTTTACTGCCCAGAACAAAAACAGTAAAACTTTTGAAGTCCCCAGACACCAAAAGCCATGCATTCTAACAGGTTTGGAGCAAACCTGATCCCAAAGCACTTTGTAGGTGTGTTGGCCCACCATCACCATCCTGTAACTGGAATGCACAACTCCAATTAGAAGTCTTCCTGGTTTGCGTCCTTTGGGGCTTTGGGGAACCTTTGGCCCTTTTTTCTCCCTTCCCTTTGGGCAGTCACCCTGGGGCATTGGCCCCATTCACAATTCTCCAGTTTCCCAGACAATGTGGCTTCTTGTGCTCTTTGCTTGGGCCCCTCTATTAACCCTACAGAGAGGTTTAAGGTTACTGAAACAGATGCTTTGCTTTCTACTATGCATAATGTCCTTGTTCCAGCGAGAAACTGCAGCACATCAGGATTTGGTTTTCATTAAAGACCCTTTGGGTCACTTTTTTTAGCAGATTGGTCAAAAGGACTGAAAGGATTGGGCAGGGCGATGGTGATTTGGGAGTTGATAGCTTTCTCTATGGGCCATACCCTTCCCCACCGAAAGATTCCCCTGCTGCAGACTAGAGGAAATCAGTCAGGCAAGGATCCCTGTGGTGAAAACTACTCGAAAACAGCAACAATAACCACAAACCTGAAATGAAGACAATTTCCTGAGAAACTACGAACGTTTGGATGTGCAGGGTGATCAACTCTCCCAGTTGCCCGGGACTAAAAGGTTTCCCAGGACTCAAAGCTTTCTGTTTTAAAACCAGAAAGTCGGCCGGGCGCGGTTGCTCACACCTGTAATCCCAGCACTTTGGGAGGCTGGGGAGGGCAGATCAAGAGGTCAGGAGATCGAGACCATCATGGCTAACACGGTGAAACCCCGTATCTACTAAAAATACAAAAATATTAGCCGGGCGTGGTGACACGCGCCTGTAGTCCCAGCTACTCAGGAGGCTGAGGCAGGAGAATGGCGTGAACCTGGGAGGCGGAGCTTGCAGTGAGCCTAGATCAGGTCACTGCACTCCAGTCTGGGCAACAGAGCAAGACTCCATCTCAAAACAAAACAAAACAAAACAAAACAAAAACAGAAAGTCACAGGCAAACCGGGGGAGTTGGTCAACCCATGAATCAGAGTCACTTCATCTTCTGTGAAATTTGCAAAGATGCTAGAAGGTTCCCCTCCTGCTGGGACACCCCAGCCCAGACACACATCATTAATTCACAATTACATGGAGTTTCACTGTCTGCAAGGCTGCTCCATTTAAGCTCTGGGTCATGAACACATAACTCTAGGCATACTGACACTAGCTGGGAGATTTTTCACCAAAAAAAAAAAAAAAAAAAAAAAAAGGCCATTTCATGACTATTAATGCAAAATAGGCAAATGTGTGTGGCTTACAGAATACCAGCCTGATTACAAATGCTTGGTGTTGGAATGGCCCAGTTCACAATGGTTGTAGAAGTCCAGTGGGGCCAGGCTTGGTGGCTCACGCCTGTAACCCCAGCACTTTGGGAGGCCAAGGCGGGAGGATCACTTGAGTCCAGAAGTTCAAGACCAGCCTGGGCAACATAGGGAGACTCCATTTCTACAAATAATTTAAAAAATTAGCAGGGTGTGGTGGTGCGTGCTTGTAGTCCTAGCTACTCAGGAGGCTGAGGCAGGAGAATTGCCTGAGCTTGGGAGGTCGAGGCCACAGTGAGCTGTGATCGCATGTCACTGCACTCCAGCCTGGGTGACAGAGCAAAACCTTGGTTAAAAAAAAAAAAAAAAATTCAAAGAAGCCAAGGGGATGGGAGCTTGGTGGACTAGAGATGCCCAGGCTTGAGTTCCTGTCCCAGCCCTGCCCCAGTAGTGAGACTTCAGGCACAGCTATTCCCCTTCTTCTCTCCTACGTCTCCTGAGAACAAATGGCTTTGGATTCAATGAGGAAAAGAAGGAAAGAAAGGAAGAAACTGGTCTCACTGAGCATCCTCTATGAGATGGGCATCACGCCAAACCCTCCCTGCCATTTACTCTTTCCACCAGCCTTGAAGGTTACCATACTCAGTTTCACAGATAAGTTCAGTGGACATGAATGATCACACAGCAAGCCAACGGCAGAGAGGGGGTTATGATGCAGAGCTGCTGGGCTCCATAGTAACCTTAATCCCAGCTGTCATTTAATGAGAGAGAACTAAGTACACGCCCCTCTAACATACATTGTCTTGCTTAATTCTTGCAGAATCTTTCAGGCAAGCATTACCATTATCTCTACTTCACAGATGAGCAAATGGGTTCTAAGAGGTCAAGTGACCTGCCCAAGGTCACACAGCTATGCATGGACAGCCGGGTGGCAAACCCAGAGCTAAATGATTCCAACGCTTACTGGCTTTGCTCTCCAGTCTCAGCTCAGCAGCCCTGAACCTAAAACTCCAGGTGGCGGGTGCCACGCCAGGGATAAGACCCCAGCTTTTACCTGAACCAAGCCTTAACCAGCTGTGTGCTATTGGGCAAATTCCTTAACCTCTATAGGCTTGCATTTCCTCCTCTGCATAATAGGCATGGCACTCATACCTCCCTCGCAAAAAACCATCAACTTTATTTATTTATTTGTTTATTTATATATGAGACAGAGTCTCGCCGTGTTGCCCAGGCTGGAGGGCAGTGGCCTGATCTCGGCTCACTGCAACCTCCACCTCCCCGATTCATGCGATTCTCTTGCCTCAGCCTCCAGAGTAGCTGGGCTTACAGGCGCCCGCCACTGCACCTGGCTAATATTTGTATTTTCAGTAGAGATGGGGTTTCACCATGTTGGCCAGGCTGGTCTCAAACTCCTGGCCTCAAGTGATTCACCTGCCTCGGCCTCCCAAAGTGCTGGGATTACAGGTGTGAGCCCTGGCCTTTACCAGCATTTTTCTATTTCTTCCGCACAACTGCTATGAGGTAGGTATTACTTTATACATAAAACATGTAAAGAAGTAAGCCAGCACTGGCACATATAAGAATGCAATAAATCGTAGCTATTATTATTATTGATGCTATTGTTTTTACTGCTGCTATATTATTATAACAAATAATAATTGTGATAGTTATTGTAACAGTTGTCATCGCTGTTATTATTATTACTATTACTAAGTAATTTTGGATTCCTTTTCTCGAAGTTTCGTCACTCCCCGCAAGTGCCCTCTAATCCCAGAAGCCCTTAAAGCCGCTGCACCCACACTTTGCCCACCCTCTTTCTCTCGGTCCGCCCCCTACCCCATCCATGCACACCTGCGCCCCTTCCCTAGGGAGGCCCAGCAGTGAGCGCCCACCCGCTCCCCGAGCGCTTTGCCCCGCGGGTCCTCCGCCCCGGCCCCCCGCGCTCGCCTCACCTGCAGAGCCCGGCTTGGCTGCACTGAGTCCCACCGGCTGGCAGGTGGCGCAGGGCGGGGCCGCCGGGCTCACGCCGGGCGCGGGCAGGCAGGGGAGCGGAGGGGCGGCGCCAGCCGGCATCTCTGCAACCTCCTCCCTGCAGCGGCCCAGGTGGGAACCCCGCCAGGGCAGCGGCGGGGGTCACAGTCCCCGCCTGGGGCTTCCTGTCTGGACCCGAAGCGTGCAAGACGCACACATGCCTGCTGCCCAGCCACTCTTCTGAGCAGCAGCGAGGAAGCAAGGATGGAGAGCGCTAGAGAGCTATCCACCGATCGCCACGTGGGAACTTTATTTAGATCTGAATTCAAACCGTTAAAAGAAGTTATAGGACGGGCACGGTGGCTCACGCCTGTAATCCCAGCACTTTTGGGAGGCCAAGGCGGGCGGATCACTTGAGACCAGGAGTTCGAGAGTAGCCTAACCAACAGGGCGAAACCCTGGCTTTACTAAAAGTACAAAGATTAGCCAGGTGCGGTGGCGGGCGCCTGTAATCCCAGCTACTTGGGAGGCTGAGGCAGGAGAATTGCTTGAACCTGGGAGCGGGGGGGTTGCAGTGAGCCGAGATCTTGCCATTGCACTCCAGCCTGGGCGACAGAGCAAGACTCTGTCTCAAAATAAAAATAAAAATAAAATAAAATAAGAAAATTGGAGCAATGTGGTCGCTGGAATATTTAATGGCTGGGTTTCTTTCTTTTGTTTCTTCTTTTTTTTGAGACACAGTCTCGCTCTGTCGCCCAGGCGCGAGTGCAATGGCAAGATCTCGGCTCACTGCAGCCTCCACCCCCGAGTTCAAGCGATTCGCTTGACTCAACCTCCCAAGTAACGAGGATTACAAGCGCTCACCACCACGCCCGGCTATTTTTTTGTACTTTTAGCAGAGACAGGGTTTCTCCTTGTTGGCCAGGCTGGTCTTAAACTCCTGACCTCAGGTGATCCGCCGGCCTCAGCCTCCCAAAATGCTGGGATTACAGGCGTGAGCCACCGCACCCAGCCGGGTTTCTTAATGAATAATTGTAATGTGGCTATCTTTTCAGAATGGTTATCTTTTACAGCTATATATTTACAAAACTGAAATGATACCTCTGGGATTTGCTTGGCAATAGTGGAACCAAGGAGTTGTGGGACTAGGGATGAAACAAGGTGGGCCAGGTGTTGATAACTGCCTAAGCTGGGTGGGGTAATAACCTTTCTTTTTTATGTACTTGGAATTTTCCATAATAAAAATAATTAATAGTATGACTTAGATATATACATACACGGAGTAGTAGAAAATAATTCATCCTAAATGTCCACCAGTAAGGAAATGTTTAAATAAATGGATACATAAACGCTGTGGATCACATAGTAATTAAAATTGTTCTCAACAAAGACCACATAATTAGCACAAGGAAATAATTTTATATCCAAAACAAAAAAGCCGAATGTTAAGAAATACATGTATTTGAACTTTTATTAAAACTAGAAGCTAGGGGCTGGGTACAGAGCCTCACACCTGTAATCCCAGCACTTTGGGAGACCAAGGCAGGCTGATCACTAGAGGTCAAGAGTTTGAGACCAGCCTGGCCAACATGGTGAGACCTCGTCTCTACTAAAAATACAAAAATTAGCCGGGCATGGTGGTAGGTGCCTGTAATCATCATTACTTGGGAGGCTGAGGCAGGAGAATTGCATGAGTTGGGGAGGCGGAGGTTGCGGTGATCTGAGATGGCACCACTGCCCTCCCGCTTGGACAACAGAGCAAGACTCTGTCTCAAAAACAAAACAAAACAAAGCAAAAAACTAGAAGGCAAGGCCGGTGGGGTGGCTCAGGCCTGTAATTCCAACACTTCGGGAGACTGAGGTGGATGAATCACTTGAGGTCAGGAGTTCAAGACCAGCCTGGCCAACACAGCGAAACCCCATCTCTACTAAAAACACAAAAATGAGTTTGCACGGTAGTGCACACTTGTAATCCCAGCTATTCAGGAGGCTGAGGCAGGAGAATCCCTTGAACCCGAGAGGCAGAGGTTGCAGTGAGCTGAGATCATACTACTGCACTGGGCAACAGAGTAAGACTCTGCCTCAAAAAAAAAAAAAAATTAAAAAACAATCTGGAAGGCAATGCATGAAAATATTAGCTTTGCATGACAAGATTATGCATAACTGTTTTGTATCTTTCCTAATGAAAATATAATTGTGGACTCAAGAGGTTTCGTTGCAATCCTTCACATTTAATGAAACACGTCTAATATCCATAATATTTCAAAGTAATTACTGAAATGCCCAGTGCTAACATTAGTTTTTCAGTGGCACAATTAAAACATTATCTTCAGAAATGGCCAACTGTAGCATTCTGCTGCCCATCTGATAGTAATTTATATAACGCTAATGTCCAGCATCCTCAAAAACATCCTTTTATCCCCAGGGTCTTTGTTTAGTCATTTAAATAAAAAAGCTGAACCTCGGTCAGGCACGGTGGCTCACGCCTGTAATCCCAGCACTTTGGGAGGCTGAGACGGGCAGATCACGAGGTCAGGAGATCGAGACCATCCTGGCTAACACGGTGAAACCCTGTCTCTACTAAAAATACAAAAAATTATCCAGGCGTGGTGACGGGCGCCTGTAGTCCCAGCTACCCGAGAGGCTGTGGCAGGAGAATGGCATGAACCCGGGAGGCAGAGCTTGCAGTGAGCCAAGATCGTGCCACTGCACTCCAGCCTGGGCGACAGAGTGAGACTCTTTCTCAAAAAAAAAAAAAAAAAAAAAAATGCTTAACTTCAAGCTTTAAATGACAGGAAATGGGTTCCATCCTTTGTCAATTTTTGATTTATAATATAGGTGTCTAGGAGTCTCACATGACTCGTCTCAGAAAAATAAAAGGACCTTTTCATTTTTACATATTTTAATGTTTAAAGGTTTATAAATGTGTGATACATACATGCACAGAAAAAAAAAAAAAGTCTGGAAGGCATAAACCAAATTGTCAGTAGTGGTTCTCTCAAGGTTATGGGGTAAGTAAAGTTAATTTTCATTTTATACTTTTTCTGCAATGAACGTTGATATGGTTTGGATTTGTGTCCTCACCCAAATCTCGCGTGGAATTGTATTTCCCAGTGTTGGAGGAGGGGCCTGGTAGGAGGCGATTGGATCATGGGACTGACTTCCCCCTCAATACTGCTTTCGTGATAGTGAATGAGTGCTGGGTATTTTATTTTATTTTATTTTATTTTATTTTATTTTATTTTATTTATTTTTTTATTTTATTTTATCTTATCTTATCTTATCTTATCTTATCTTATCTTATCTTATCTTATCTTATCTTATTTTATTTTATTTTATTTTGAGACGGAGTCTTGCGTCTCCCAGGCTGGAGTGCAGTGGCACGATCTCCGCTCGCTGCAAGCTCCGCCTCCCGGGTTCACACCATTCTCCTGCCTCAGCCTCCCGAGTAGCTGGGACTACAGGCGCCCGCCACCGCGCCCGGCTAATTTTTTTGTGTTTTTTTAGTAGAGACGGGGTTTCACCGTACTAGCCAGGATGGTCTTGATATTCTGACCTCGTCATCCGCCCTCATCGGCCTCCCAAAGTGCTGGGATTACAGACGTGAGCCACCGCGTCTGGCCGTGCTCGGTTGTTTTAAAAGTGTGTGGTACCTTCTTGGTTCTCTCTTAGTCCTGCTTCCACCATGTAAGATACGCTGGCCTCCCCTTCACTTTCCACCATGATTCTGTTTCCTGAGGCCTCCCTAGAAGCAGAAGCCTATACACCCTGCAGAACCATGAGCCAATTAAACCTCTTTTCGTTATAAATTACCCAGTGGCAAGCATGTCTTTATAGCAGTGTGAGAAATGACTAATACAAACGTGTTACTTATAATGGAAAATAAAAACAAGATGGAGGCTGGGCGAGGTGGCTCACACCTATAATCCCAGCACTTTGGGAGGCCAAGGTGGGTGGATCACCTGAGGTCAGGAGTCTGAGACCAGCGTGACCAACAGGGCAAAACCCCATCTCTACTAAAAATACAAAAATTAGTGGGGCATGGTGGCACATGCCTGTAATCCCAGCTACTTGGGAGGCTGAGGCAGGAGAATCACTTGAACCCAGGAGGTGGAGGCTGCAGTGAGCCGAGATTGCACCACTGCACTCCAGCCTGGGCAACAGAGGAAGGCTTCATCTCAAAAAAAAAGAATAAAATAATTGCCAGTGTATTCGCTTGAACTCTGGCATTTGGAAAAGTGTTGAGAGTTCACAGTCATTTAAAACCAACGTTCTGTGTTGAATCCTAAACAGGATATAAGAAAACAGCATTTGGGCATTCTATCTGTTCTTATTTCCAGAACTTAAGAAGTACAGGTATATAAGACATCCCAATTTACATGGTCATTTACTTGAGAGAAAAAGTATTTATTTTTCATTTTACATGTATTGAAAGTAATTTTAAAGTGACTTTGTAACAAAAGCATATTATTTAATCCATGTGAATACAGCATACTGACCCAAATCCAGAGGGAATTCTTAAGTTCAGTCATGTAATAATATTCTCCCAGTTCTCCAAAAGTATAAAATTTCACAGTGAAAAAGAAGTATTTTGTTATCACTGAATACTGACTCCAATTCAGTGATACCGATATAGATAGCAAGCTACAAAGCACAGTTTACTAGTAAATGAAGCCAAATGCCATACAAGTTGTACTATAAAAACAAATGATGCACTAGTCATTAGGGAAATGCAAATCAAAACCACAAGCTACTGTCTTACACCAACAGGATAGCTACTACTACTAAAAAATAAATAAATAAATAAAATAGCTGGACATGGTGGCTCACATCTGTAATCTCAGCACTTTGGGAGGCCAAGGCTGGCAGATCAACTGAGGTCAGGAGTTTGAGACCAGCCTGGCCAACATGGCGAAACCCCGAAACCCATCTCTACTAAAAATACAAAAATTAGCCAAGCGTGGTGGTAGGTGCCTGTAATCCCAGATACTCAGGAGGTTGAGGCAGGAGAATCACTTGAACCCAAGAGATGGAGGTAGCAGTGAGCTGAGATCGCGCCTGCACTCCAGCCTGGGTGACAGAGCAAGACTCCATCTCAAAATAAAACAAGATAATGTTGGTGAAGATGTGGAGAAATTGGAATGGTTGTGAACTGTTGGCAAAAATGTTAAATGGTGCAGAAAACAACATTGTGGTTCCTCAAATAATTAAAAATAGAATTACCACATGATCCAGTAATTTCACTTCTGGTTATATACCCAAAAGAATTAAAAGCAGGGTCACAAGATACTTGTACACTCATGTTCACAGCAGAGTTATTCAGAACAGCTAAAAGACAGTAGCAACCCAAGAGTTCATCAGCACACTAATGGATAAGCAAAATATGGTCTATCCATACAATAAGATTATTCAGCCTTAAAAAGGAAGGAAATTCTGGCCAGCAAGGTGGCTCACGCCTGTAATCCCAGCACTTTGGGAGGCCGAGGCAGGTGGATCACCTGAGGTCAGGAGTTTGAGAGCAACCTGGCCAACATGGTGTAACCCTGTCTCTACTAAAAATACAAAAATTAGCCAGGCGTGGGGGCAGGTGCCTGTAACCTCAGCTACTCAGGAGGCTGAGGCAGGAAAATGGCTTGAACCCAGGAGGCGGAGGTTGCAGTGATCCGTGATCACGCCACTGAACTCCAGCCCGGAGGACAGAAAGAGACATCTAAAAAAAAAAAAAAAAAAAAGGAAGTTAATTCCGACACCCTCTACAACATTGGTGAATCCTGAGGGCATTGTACTAAGTGAAAGAAGCCAGTCATGGGCCGGGCGCGGTGGCTCATGCCTGTAATCCTGGCACTTTGGGAGGCCGAGGCAGGTGGATCACAAGGTCAAGAGTTCGAGACCAACCTGGCCAACATGGTGAAACCCCCATCTCTACTAAAAATACAAAAATTAGCCAGGCATGGTGGTGCACACCTGTAATCATAGTTACTCAGGAGGCTAAGGCAGGATTGCTTGAACCCGGGAGACAAAGGTTGAAGTGAGCTGAGATTGTGTCATTGCACTCCAGCCTGGGCAACAGAGTGAGACTCCATCTCAGAGAAAAAAAAAAAAGGAGGAGGAGGGGGAGGGGGAGGAGAAATAAGCCGGTCGCAAAAAGGCAAATACTGTATAATTCCAATTATATAGGAGGTGACTGGATCATGGGGCGGATCATGACTACCAAGAGTAGTCAAAGGGACAGAAAGTAGAATGAGAGTTGCCAGAGGATGGGGTGGAGAGAATGGAGAGTTCTTGTTTATGAACACAGTTTCAGTTTTGCAAGATAAAGGGAGTGCAAGGCCAGGGGCAGTGACTCACACCTGTAGTCCCAACACTTTGGGAGGCCAAGGTGGAAGGATCACTTGAGGCCAGGAGTTTAAGATCAGCCTAGGCAACATAGTGCTGATTTGTTTCAAGTTACTTATGAGCCCAGTTTTGTGCTCAGTGCACTCCTAGACAGTACAACTCAGTCCAGGCTGCCCTGATTCCATGCACTATCTTCCAGCCAGTGGAAGCACTGGATATAAGGTAACTGGGGGGTGCTTAAGCATCTGCACTAACATGGTAGGCCACTGTAGCCACTGGCAGCCCATGATACTCTACTGTCATTGCTAGAGAAAAAGGATCATGGAACACCTCTATCAGTAACCAAATAGTGGGAAGCAATTAATGAAAACATCTTGCTTCATTAATACTGTAATTAACATACTCAGTATAGCCTATTAATACTATACTCAGAACCAAGGGAAAACAAAGCTTTGCTCAGGAAGACTTGAAACATCTACATTTTATTTTCCAACCCGACTTTTTTTCTGTTAAAAGCCAACCATGTAAAAACTGATGACAGGTCACACTGGATGGCAGAAAATACAGTATTGCTTTTAACTACTCTATACAAGCGATAAATGACTAAGGGCATTGTACCTCCTTTCCTCTCTGAGATCAGTGGTCTGAGCACTTTAGGAGCTTAAAATGCAGGTGCAGGGAGCTAGGAATCACAGGTGTAGCTTGCATTTCAACCTTTAAGGTCAATTGGTTAGCTTGCTTTGACCACAAATAAAGCTCTTCTTAATTTCTCTAGTAGAGTCTTAACTTGATATGAAGCACTTACACGAGGAATGGTGCAGACAAGGCAGCTTTATTGTACTTTGTGGGGAGAAAAACATGATTCCATTTAGGGGGAAAAAAGCCATTGACACTCAGTAAGCAACACTGCCATCTAGTGGAATGGTGACACACCACCAAGAATTTCAAGACCCGATACGAAATGTGAGTGCATTTGGTTTCAATTTTCACCATAAAACAGCACTTTTAATAAGCTGGTTTTCAGAGAAACTACTGATTTTTTTTGAGAAACTACTTTTATCTTTAAAATGCATAAATGTATGTTTTCTCTGTTTTGGGGGGTGGTTGAGTTGTATTTTTCTTATTAGAACATAAAATTCTCACCTTGAAAGTTAGAAAACACTGGGGCAACCCGCCTCTTTGAACATCCATCACTTCTGCTTGACAGTCTAACAGCAACCCCTGATTTTGACAGACAGTTTATAAAGAAGCAAAACTCAGCTGTACAAGAACGACATTAAGTTTTCTCATTTCTTCTTTCTATTTTTACAATCTATGGTGCTAAGTATTTGTACTTCACTTATTTGAATTCCTGGAAAAAAATCATTAGAACACACCAATAACAATTTTGCATAAATCACATAACCCAACTCTTAGTATGACTGCACAGTAACAGTGGAAGATATTGGTGTGAGGATGTGGGAATGCAGTTCTTAATGAATAATAAAGTAATTCTTCAGGTTTTAATTCGCCTTTATACCCAGGTGTTGGAGTGACTGTGTTGATCTGATGACTTCTATGAACATATAAATGAGAATACTTAATGAAACACCTGGATGAAAAAAGAAATAAACTTGTGAGAATAACATATTGTTAATAACCACAATCTCATATCGACATTTCTGTTATTACTGAGATTTCAGATTCTGGGTTAAGTGCTCTGCTCTTTGGAATATCCACAATGGTTATTGATCTTGCTAATGGGTTCCTTATTGCAGCGTTTCTGGGTTTATGGTTGGAGGCACTCACGGATTCCAGAATGCATGAGTCTGACACGGTCTTCATCAAACCATATTCTTGGCAAATAATAAACTCCTTTAAGGATTTCAGGGAAGAGCCAAGCTCTGGGAGAGAGGTATACAAGTGTAGAGTAAGAAGTTGAATTAAAACATTTTTAGTTGCATTTTGTCAGTAGACAAAACTGAATGTTTCAATTCTGAGAACCTGAGATTGTCCAGAAAAAAACAAAAGTTCAGTGTGTGGGACATGAGCAATGAAAAGTCAGAACCAGGTTATTTTGCATTTTCACAGCAGCATTAACTGGGGAGTGGAGGTGGTCCCTGAAGTTCTATATCTGAATGAGGCTGGGTTTTTGTTTTTGTTTTTGTTTTTTTTACTGCCTCAGTGTTCACTGCAATTTGCAATCATCTCCCCTTCCCCCCAGTCTGAAGCCTTCCTTCCCCGCTATTCAAATTATCTGCGTCATTCACATAATGCTACTATTTGGTACTCCTGAAGCCAAACCAATAAAAAATGCTAGGGGAGCCTTATATTAATTCAAACATGATGCCAAAGTCATCTCCAAAAAAGTTTATTAGCATGATTAAAAACATTTTCTTGAATAATAACAGAAAGAATTCTAAACATGAAAGAATATCAGCGGCTATACCTTAAAACCAGTATTTGGAATTGGATGGACAGCTTTATTGCCAGTCTTCAAAAAACAATCCATTGATTGGTTCCATGAAGTCGTGACTATTGCTTTGTCTGGGAATGAGTCCCTACTGTAATTAAGTATAAAAAATATCTTCCATCATAATTGGAGTGTGACCTGCGTTGGAGAGTGGCTCTGAGTAAAGAGTTGATAAAAATTCACAAAGAGTTGGGTTTTTGTCTTTTAAAAACATTCCTTTACACACTACAAAGAAATAATTAGTATTTTGGCTTTTTAAATTCCTACATGATATTTAGAATGGCGGTCCCCAAGGGTCCTCCCTTCACATAATTGTGAACACAGACCCTCTTCCAAGGGCACATCCCAGAGGATGTGGACTCTGAAGACTTCGACCTCCACGTGTTTATACTGGTTTGAGAACAAAGACAGCGTCATCCAGAACGTAGTAGTCATTATACATGTCACCTTCACACAGGTATGGCAGTCTGGTGAAAGCTTCGATAACAAAACCGGCTTTTCTGAAAACTTCAGGCAGACTATTCACTTGTTCTTCCCAGTTCTGTCCCTTGATTTCCAAAATTTCTGATGGTTTCTCCCACTTGCCACCTACTAATACAAATAAAAACATTCAGTTAAATTCTTGAACAAACAAGTGATTTAAAGAGGGAAGCAGGGAGGAGCCATATCCACCAAGGACTTGGTATGTTCCAGGCCTGAGGGCTTCATGAGTTACCTCTTTCATACTTCCCAGGTACTCTTTGAGACAGGTGGGCACAGAGGTAAAAAGAATAGACTCAGAAGGGCTGAAGAACTTGCCCACACTTGCAAGGTTAATGAGTGTCAGCACGGAAACGTAAGCCCAGGTTTGTCTGGATCCAAGGCCCACACTGTTATCTTCTCTGACAGTTTTGGGTAGTATCTGCCAGTAGACTGACTGGGGGGTGTAATGGTTAATGGGTTTAGAAAACTGGTTATTAAATGCTGGAATACTGCAACTGAGAGTAACATGTAATATTTGAAAGACAGTTTTGGACAAATGCAAGAAAATACCACTGGTGTAGTAAACTTAGGCAACTTATTACCCAAAAAGATTTATTAGGCTGAAAATAAAAACAGCTCATGAAGGATTTTAATTTATAAAAACAGATCATCACGGAGTTTTTCAAGGGAAACTGACTCATTCCTTGCCTTTTCAGAACAATTTTATTAACATTAAGCTCCAGGACCAGAAAGAGGTGGAACAGTAGGACGGATGCACTGTCCGGCATTTCTTCGACTAGAGATGAAGCCTCTATCAGTCATTTCCAAACATGAGCAGAAGATGCCTGGGGGACGAGGGAACTAGGGAAGGTCCTCAAATTCACATACAAACCTGGCACTGACTATAGACACACACAGAGATGGTAGTATATTTAACTTTGGGGGTACTTTTTAGGTACTATGGTGATACAAAAACTACATACATCTGTTGAAATGTTAAAACCAGATTGAGGCTAGGCGTGGTGGCTCACACCTGTAATCCCAGCACTTTGGGAAGCCAAGGAGGGTGGATCACGAGGTCAGGAGATCAATACCATCCTGGCTAACATGGTGAAACCCCGTTTCTACTAAAAAAAAATACAAAAAAACCAGCCAGGCGTAGCGGCATGCACCTGTAGTCCCAGCTACTTGGGAGGCTGAGGCAGAAGAACGGTGTGAACCTGGGAGGTGGAGCTTGTAGTGAGCGAAGATCATGCCACTGCACTCCAGCCTGGGTGACAGAACGAGACTCCATCTCCAAAAAAAAAAAAAAAAAAACCAGATTGCGAATAACTTTCTGTCTTTCTGTTAATGAGAAAATATATCATGAGCAGATGCCAAGGGCAGACATCATATCATGGTGGAGAGATTTTTCATAATTTTCAGTGGTGCAGATGACACTCTTCCCATGTCTGGGGAATTGCCTGCCCAGAGTCTGGGAGAGAGGCAAGGCCTGGGAGCCGCTTTCCTGGCCTGCCGTGCAGCTGAGGCACTGGCATGCAGCCTGAGCCAGGCACACTTGCCCACGCCCTGGAATGGAGAGCCAGTGACCCAGAGCAGTGGGGATGTGAGCTTCTCCTTCTCTGGGGGTGGAGTAACGGCAGTGAGACCAAGGGGCCGGGGCAATGGTTGAGGGATGCTGACCAAAGGGCTGATGGCACCTAGTGTTTGGCAGTGGCAGCAGCATCCTCTTCAGACCTGTTTACGGTGTGATTTGAGGCATTCTTCCTGGCTGTGGATCCCATACAAGATTAACTACCCCTCCCAGTGACTCTAGGAGCTACCTTCAAATGCTTGCATAAATTTCCTTTTGTTTAAGTCAGCCTGAGTCTGTTTCTGCAGCCTTACAAAGAAGACCCTTACTGAATCACTACTAAGCACTGGGGTAGAGGACACGGAGGACAGAGGACCCACGTATTTGTTTCTCAACATATTAAAAGGGGGTCTTTGGGCCAGGCACAGTGGCTCACACCTGTAATCCTAACACTTTGGGAGGCGAAGGCAGGGGAATTGCTTGAGGCCAGGACTAGCCTAGACAACACAGAATCTACAAAAAAATAAAAATTGGCCAGGGGTGGTGGTGCACACCTGTAGTCCCAGCTACTCAGGAAGCTGAGGCTGCAATGAGCTGAATCTTGCCACTGCACTCCCACCTGGGTGATAGAGACCCTGTCTCAAAAAAAGGGGGGAAGGCAGGTGTCTTTGGATTCAAAACTGGAGTACAAAAAGTTAATAATAGACAATTTACTTCTTCACTGCATTAGAATGTGTTGTTTACTAACTTTTCTCTTGTCTCTACACAAAGCCACTTCTCCTTCTGCTGTGTCTTTGTTCCCAGCAGTTACTGGCCCAGAGTGGCACCCACAGCAGATACCCTGGACGGTGACTGAACTGTTCTGAAAAATCCAAGTATGAATTATCTGTCAAACAATACTCCTTCTTCCTGGGAATATGTGCTACGTGTAAATCAAAATCTCACCCAAAAACATCTAACACCTATGAGGACTGTAAAATCCATGAAAAAAAAATGATATGCACATTTCTAAATGTGCTCCAGGCCAAAATCTCAACGTTAAATGGTGAAGCTGAGTTACAAACCATCCTTGCACAATTTCAAAAAGTTCCTGATTATGGTTCCTTCATAAGAGGTTCCTCTCTTCAGCTCTTCCCTTCTGAAAAAAGAAAGCCAACTTTCCTTTCAAATACACACCCCAGCCCGCCCCGGCACACACAGAAATGGGGACTGTGAGCAGAAGCAACATCGCGCGCCATCTGCAAACCAACCTCATTCTATTTTGTGTCGGTAAGGTTCTTTTTCTTCTCCTCCTTCATTTTATTTAAATCAATTGCTATTTTTCACCTAATGCATTTATATTTTAAGCTCCTTCAGATTAATTTTTAAATGTATAACATTATGGAAACTGCCTAAGAGGATAAGTTTCCCTTTTCCCCTGAGAAATAGATAATAAAAAAATAGCTGAGAAAAAGTTTCATATTAACCTTGAAAAGTCTCTTTGCTATTATGCCGCTTTGGAGACAATCAGACCAAACAAAGGGCTGAAAATATTCTTAAAATTGTAGGTACATCAACAATTTATCATACAAACTTGATCTGCACATAGAAAGCAATAAACAATTATTTGCTGAATATTTTCAAAGAACAATTTCTATAAAAGTACTTTTCATTTAAGAAAAAAAACTGCCACGACTCCTTATATAGAGAATAGCAATCCCATAATATATGTTTTTAAAATTCTGCCTACCCGTTTTTTTATCTACAAAAGAGAAAGTATTTCCAATGCATCTAATAATCTCAGATTTGCCCACACAATTTGCATTATAGGGCAGGGAAGGGGGAAAAGTTCTTAAAATTAATTTTTTCTCATCTGTGAAGAAATACATCAAAATGTTAATGGGAGTTATTTCAGGCAAAAGGACTATGGGTGACTTTTTGCTTCTACTTTTAATAATCTGTTTTTTGCTAATAAGTATATATTACTTTCATAGACTTTTAATTAGCATTATTTTAAAGAAGAATTATTATCTTTTAGAGATATATTCTGAAAGACATGCAGATAAAATGGATGGAATTTGCTCTAAAATAATATGGGAGTGAGGGAGTAGGTGGGAGGAGAAAAGAAACAAGATTGGGTCAAAGCCATGTGATGGCAGGGGGCTGACTGTACTACTTTGCTACTTTGATATGTTAGAAATTTGAAATCTAATATCATAAACAAAGCTTTGGGCTGGGCGTGGTGGTTCACGCCTGTTTGGGGGCCAAGGTGGGAGGATCACTTGAGCCCAGGAGTTCAAGACCAGCATGAACAACATAACGAGACCCCCATTTCTACACAATAAAAAAAATAGCTGGGTGTGATGGCATGCACCTGCAGCCCCACCTACTTGGGAGGCTGAGGCAGGAGGATCACTTGAGCCCAGGAGTTTGAGGCTACAGGGAGCTGTGATCATGTCACTGCACTCCAGCCTGGGCAACATGGCAAGACATTTACTTAGTTCTTACTTACTAGATAGACAGCTTTGTTTAAATGTCAAGAATTAGTTCTCTACTTACTTTCAATATGGTTTGTTTGTTTGTTTGTTTTGAGACGGAGCCTCACGCTGTCGCCCAGGCTGGAGTGCAGTGGTGCGATCTTGGCTCACTGCAAGCTCCGCCTCCCAGGTTCACGCCATTCTCCTGCCTCAGCCTCCCAAGTAGCTGAGACTACAGGCACCCGCTGCCACACCCGGCTAAGTTTTTATATTTTTAGTAGAGACAGGGTTTCACCATGTTAGCCAGGATGGTCTCAATCTCCTGACCTCATGATCCGCCCACCTCGGCCTCCCAAAGTGCTGGGATTACAGGCGTGAGCCACCATGTCCAGCCTCAATATGGTTTTTTTAAATAATAATAATAATCTTTTTATTCCCTCCACAGAGGAAATAAATTTTCAAACTTTTCATTGGATACTGTTTTTAAAAAACAATTCCTAGAATATGAGGCTTCTTAAAAGAAATTGTTCACAGAAGCAGGCTGTGGTGTGACATATCCAAACTTCTCTTTTTTGTTAATAGGTTGCCTAACTGGTAGGGGGAGGGAACCACAGTTTCATCACAAGTCCCCACTCACATAGGAAATCATTACAATTGGTTTTCTCCCACACTCAGACTAATTGGGAAGAAGGTGGAAATAAGTAGAGATATGAAATTCCAAAGTTACAATTACCTGTTTTTATCCTATATTACTAGTTTTTAAAGAAAAGTGTTAAAAGTCAGCTACCCGCCCCCCACACCAACCTTTTTTTTTTTTTTTTTTTTTGAGACAAGAGTCTCCCTCTTTCACCCAGGCTGGAGTGCAGTGGCTCACTGCAACCTCTTGGCTCACTGCAACCTCTGACTCCCACATTCAAGCGATTCTTCTGCTTCAGCCTCCCAAGTAGCTGGGATTACAGGCATCCACCATCATACCTGGCTAATTTTTTGTATTTTTAATAAAGACAGGGTTTTACCATGTTGGCCAGGCTAGTCTCAAACTCCTGACCTCAGGTGATCTGCCCACCTCGGCATCCCAAAGCGCTAGGATTACAGGCGTGAGCCACCACGCCCAGCCTCTATTCCTTTTATAGAGACAGGGTCTCACAATGTTGCCTAGGCTGGAGTGCAGTGGTGCCATCACAGCTCACTGTAGCCTGGAATTCCTGGGCTCAATCAGCTTCCCATCACAGCCTCCTGAGTAGCGGTGACTAATGGCCACACCACCACACCTGGCTCTTTAGCTTCCCTTTTAGAAACACTACCTGATTTGGAAGGCTGAGGCAAGTGGATTGCTTGAGCCCAGGAGTGTAAGACCAGGCTGGCCAACATCACAAAACCCTGTCTCTACCAAAAATAAAAAAATTAGCCAGGCATGGTGGTGCATACCTGTAGTCTCAGCTACTCCAGAGGCTGCGGTGAGAGGATTGCTTGAGCCCAGAGACAAAGGCTACAGTAAGCCGAGATCACACCACTGCATTCCAGTTTGGGCGACACAGTGGGACCCTATCTCAAAAATAAAAATGTGTAAATAATGGAATCGTCCACTTTTTAAAAATAATTTTATAAATAAAAATAAAAACATTATCTGAAAGATAACTTGAGACTGAGACAGTGATTAACCTTGCTAAGTTTTGGCAGACCCAATTCCATTTTAAATTTCCACTCAGAATATACTATAAAATGTTTCACTCTACTTGTAAGGTGCTTGAGTCTGGGCAGGAGACATGAGGTTGTATTTATCAGACTTAGAGGGGATCCAATCCCCTTGGCTGGAGATGGAGCTGAGCTGGGCCTCCCGCAGACACGAGGCTCTGAGAAGCTTGCAGGCCTCCTCCAGATGACTGCACCCTCTTGTCTGGTTTGCATTTATCAGGTCACCACAGAGCTCCCAGCTCATCTCACATTGCACAAATACTAAAATATAACATGATGAGAAGAAAGCCAGGCACAGTGGCTCACACTTGTAATCCCAGCACTTTGGAAGGCCGAGGCAAGTGGGTCGCTTGAGTTTAGAGGTTCAAGACCAGCCTGGGCAACAAGGCGAGACCTGTCTCTACAAAAAATACAAAAATTAGCTGGGCACAGTGCTGCATGCCTGTAGTCCCAGCTACTTTTGAGAAGCTAAGGCAGGAGGTCAGGGTTGCAGTGAGTCATGATTGCACCACTGCACTCCAGCCTGGGAGACAGAGACTCTGTCTAAAAAACAAAAACAAAAACACATGGTGAGAAGAGACTCGCATCACAAACGCCATGATTCTAACTTTAATTCCTCTGCTGTTACGAATGGGGATCCATAAGAGAAACGATAAGAGAAAAAACGCCCCTGTCTGAAAAGTAAGCATCAGTCCACCTGGATGACTTGTCAATTTCATTTACAGTAGCAAAGGACAAACTCACACAAATAGGACCATTTGGGAACATATGACCAGGCGGAAGTCAGACCAAAAACTTGACAAATTCCAATTTGTCTCAACCAATACTATTTTACCTATGGCCTCCCCTGCCGCAAGAAGGGTTTAGGGTGGGTCTTTCCATTTGTGCACTCCAGTGGCTTTCCAGCTTCACATGCCCGGGATATGAAGGCCAAGGTGGGGGACTCAATCCTCGTAACTTGGAAGAGCACCACATGGTGGACAGTGCACTGGACTGGGTGACTCATCCCAGCTCTGTGAACACCTCGTGGATAGACATCCACAACCATCTCTCAAACAGCCATCTGACACTGTGGAAACAGTAGCAGTGGCGGCTGCAGCAGCAATCGCTCCCTTGTATTTAATACTTACTATAGCTTAGGCAGGTAAACACTTCCTAGGCATCGTCTTGAATGTCACACTAACTGCATGAGGTCAACAACACTATCCTCATTTGCTAATGAGGAAATTGAGATCCTGAGAGTATAATGCTGGGAACAGGCAGAGCTAGGATCTGAACTCAAGTCTGTGCCCTTTATCACAATCCTGTTAATTAAATAAGATAAATGCTACAAGGGCCTACAATGCAGCACACACGCCAGGAAGAAACCGAATCTGCTTAGCTATGGCCTGGTGAGCTCATTTGGTCCCTGCTCAGTAATCAAAGACATGGTAGGCTAAGCCAGGGCTGCATTTCCACAGGTGTACATCTTGCCTTTTATCATGTTTCCCAAAGGGACATGAGGCTCACAAAGGAACAATTGTGAATGGCCATGAATTCCTGGCGATCTCAACTCCCACAAAGCACAAACATCACTGCTGTTCATAGGCTCCATCAGCGACAGCAGCGTTTGTCTGGGGACACAGGTTACCACACTGAGCACAGCACTCTGGGGAGGCCAGGGTGTGGACAAGAAGGTGGGCTGGGAGATTAAGTGACTGGATCGAAGGAAAGCTTGTAAGGAGCAAGAGTCACAGACAGACCCCAAACTTCTGACTCCAATACAGTGCCACCTCTGTGCAGGGCTCTGTTCCCCTGAAGCCTCTCTAGGGCTGGCCTCAAGTCAACAGACATCATGTGACCCAGCAAGTCAAGGTCAAAAAACAGGAGTTGGGACAAGTGAGGACCACTGGTGTCTGTTTTTAGTCTTATTTATATTGGAATTAAGGTAAGAAAAATAACAGAATGGCTGGGTTTCCTAACTCAAAAATATAAGTAAAATAAAAGCGCAGACAGTGAGGTGACAGGCCCATTAACCCACTCATCTGCTTCCTCCCGCAGGTGCTGTGGGCGCCTGTACTGTCTCTGTCACACAACCATGGTACCTAGAAGTGGACTACACTCACGAGGCCGTCACCATAAAGTGTACCTTCTCCGCAACCGGATGCCCTTCTGAGCAACCAACACGCCTGTGGTTTCGCTACGGGACTCAACAGCCTGAGAACCTGTGCTTGGACGGGTGCAAAAGCGAGGCAGACAAGTTCACAGTGAGGGAAGCCTTCATGGAAAACCAAGTTTCCCTCACTGTAAACAGAGTGACTGCAAATGACAGTGCAATTTACATCTGTGGAATAGCATTCCCCAGTGTGCCGGAAGCGAGAGCTAAGCAGACGGGAGGAGGGACCACACTGGTGGTAAGAGGTCAGTCAGCGAGGCTTTATTTCAGTGCATCACTGCATCTTGTTCAGGCCTGTAAAACCATTACCTCACTCACAAGCAGAAATCAGGAGATAAATTTGCTATGTTAATACCCTAGCCAGTGAAGGGTGTGATCTGAGCACAAGTCACCATGAGGTTAGGACTAAAGAACTACTCCAACTGGCTGGGGTGTGGTGGTTCACACCTGTAATCCCAGCACTTTGGGAGGCTGAGGCAGGCAAAATCACTTGAGGTCGGGAGTTCAAGACCAGCCTAGTCAACATGGTAAAACCCCATCTCTACTCAAAATACAGAACTTAGCTGAGTGTGGTGGCATGCACCTGTAGTCCCAGCTACTTGGGAGGCCGAGGCAGGAGAATTGCTTGTAACCCAGGAGGCGAAGGCTGCAGTGAGCTGAGATCACACTACTGCACTCCAGCCTGGGCGACAGAGCAAGACTCTGTCTCAGAAAAACAAAACCAAAGAACTACTCCAATCTATCTCGAACATCCACGAACACAAGTCAGTGATTTGCTGGGTGCTCTATTCTCTCTCCATAGTGGCAGCTAACCAGCCATGTTCATCCCTTTTGTATATCACAGTGACTTAGCATAAAGTACCATGTGCAAAGGGAAGCTTGTGGTGAGTAACTATCAGCTTTCTCAGGAACTAGTCTGGTAATGCACCACCTAGAACAAAGCACTAGAGAAGTGTAGAAGATCAATAAATTGGACCCAGAGAAACTATGCAACATGGAAAAGAAGCACAGATTGGGAGGGAAGCTACTAAGGGATCCCTGACCCTTCCCATTCCGCCTGGTCATCAGTGAACGGAAAGTGATGACTCTCACTTCCTGAGATTTGATAAAACCCATGACAATTCCTCACCCGAGCAAGGCCATCAAACACAGCTAAATCCTATCAGTAATTTCACCAAGTCATTCCCTTGAGTAGACTGAGATTAAGAAATTTCCAAGAAAAAAAAAAAAGGGAATTTCAGAGAAAAAGCTTTACATGATTCTGAAAGAAAAAAGAGAACAGCAGCAATTCCTCACCTTATTGGGGTCTCTTCCCGTAGGAAGTACCCTGGTACGATGAGCACTGAGATTGTTAAAACATGAACTCAAAATCGACCAGCCCTTTGATTTCAAAGTAGGACTCTGAGGAAGGGGGATCATCCAGTATTATAATCCCTGCTTTTAAACTACTAGGGTTCTAACGGGCTTTTGATATTCAAATGTCATTTAACCTTAGTTTATTCTCAGCTGTCAGCTAAATTATAAACAAGTTAAGGCACCTAAAGCATTTTTAATAGTGCCTGACATATAGCAAATAATAAATGTTAGCTACTGATATGAAAACACACACAGCTTTAGAGATTGGTATGTCTCACTGCATTAGCCTTCTAATAACATGTTAGTCAAAAGGAAAAATGGCTTGTGAAAAGATGAAGATCTCAAAACTGCAAGGCTTATATAAAGTGAAGTGAAAGTGAAAGGCAGAATTGAAAGTGTTAAGGCAGACATGGCAACTTCCTGTCTTTTCTACAGAGCTCTTAATTTAGCACTGAAGCTTTTTTATTTAAGTTATATAGATGTGGTTAATTTGTTAGTTTCACAAATAAAAATGCATGCTGCATAAATTGCATTCACAGGATAAGCATCTGTGGGATTTTTTTTTTTTTTTTTTTTAAGACAAGAGTCTTGCTCTGTTGCCCAGGCTGGACTGCAGTGGCATGATCTCAGCTCACTGCAACCAACCTCCACCTTCCAGGTTCAAGTGATTCTCCTGCCTCAACCTCCTGAGTAGCTGGGATTACAGGCATGTGCCACCACGCCCAGCTAATTTTTGTATTTTTAGTAGAGACGGAGTTTCACCATGTTGGCCAGGCTGGTCTCAAACTCCTGACCTCAAGTGATCTGCCCGCCTCAGCCTCCCAAAGTGCTGGGATTACAGGCATGAGCAATCATGCCCAGCCTCTTCTATGGGATATTTAGTTGGAAAGTACAGGCTATTCAGACATTAAGTACAAATCTAATTGTATTTTGTACTCCAAATAGTCAGGTAATTGGAGACATGGCATGTTACTTAATCCTCTACCCAGAGCACAAGACAATTTCTGCAAGGACAGAGAAATTCCGAATGTGAAAATGGGTTCAATAACTCTATTTCCAGAATTTTATCATAAAGAAAAGAAGAGCACATTCGGTAAAAGTGCCTGTCTTTCAAGCACGCAGTGAGCACTGCGCTCCTCAATGTATGGCCTTCCCAGGTTCTTTCACAGATGGACTCTTCAGCTCTGTGTACCAGTTCCAAGGTTATAAATATCATCCTTAACAAACACATGTGAAAATATCTTAACCACATAGGCAGGCTCTTGATGATGCTGGTAAACCATTTCTACCAAAAGAGATTTTAGATGCCCTTGAACAAACTGTCTGGAAATGTTTATCTAACTTTGAATAATCCTTTATCTAAAAAGTGATGCTCAGCAATACGACAAATGGTTGGTTGAATTTTTTTAATTTTTAAAAACAAGTAACATTTTTGGTTTAACATATTTAAAGAACTGATGAACTGGCATTAACTATCACATACTTGAGTACCTTTTGAGGTCTAGTTTATGAATAGGCAAGCAGAGTAAGTTCACGTTTCACCTCTAACATGCTGTGTCAAGGATACCTTATACTCATGTATTTGAAAAAACAGGCTTTAATAGTGACTGTGTTTCTTTCTGTTTTTGTAATTAAGAAATTAAGCTGCTCAGCAAGGAACTGTGGAGCTTCCTGACAGCTCTTGTATCACTGCTCTCTGTCTATGTGACCGGTGTAGGCGTGGCCTTCATGCTCCTCTCCAAAGTAAGTCAAATCTTCTCGCATGCAGTGTCCCTATATCCTTGAATATTATCAAAAGGAAAAATAATTTCCATCTCTCCGCAAGTTACGGGCCTCAGCAAGAGCTCCCTAATTAATGTTTTCCTGTGCATCTGCAGGGAACACCACCTGCAGGGAACACCACCTGCAGAACAGGTCTTTCGAAGAAGGCATCATACATTCTCATCACTGAAATTATTAGCCAGAGGACACAATTTGCAGTGTTTTCTCTTTAAAGCCCAGTAACATGGGATTAAGAAGAGAGCCATCCACTATGCTATCTTTCTGCTGTAGGGGTGAGGTGTGGGCAGGTGGGGGGTAAGATATTACTGTTATCTACGAAAGCTTTAAGAACAGTCTTGAAGAACAAAAATGGGTTGATGAAGAGACTAAAAGCCGCCTTAAAATCTTCAAAAAGGGCTAATGTTATTGAGAAAGAAAACCTTTTGGCTATGCGTATAAGAAGGGAGATATATACCATTATGTTAGGATTACTATAAATCCTACAATCAACATCAGTTTGTTCAATTAGTTTTTAATGGCATAAAAGCATCTCGGAAATGATGTAAAACTTATTAACTCTTATTGTATATCATTTAAATATTAAGTTAGTTTAATCTTATTAGGGCATGTGATACCTGCCGCCATTGTTATGAGTACATACAATGTTTCACAGACTTTCCTTCTCTTCTTGGCAGTCAAAATCCAAACCTCTAAGAAACAAAGAAATAAAAGAAGACTCACAAAAGGTACAGACCAACACTTGCAAAACATTTTTTAAATTGTGGCTGTTTGTAACTATTTCAAAACTGAAATATTTTTAGTTTTTAAATATTTAAATGTTAAGTTTAAACAGAGTATCAAGGTAATTTTCAACCATAGATACTGTTTCCTATTGTTGAGAAACTCAATGACAAAATAATCTCAAGGGGTAAACTGTGACTTAAATTGGACAGTTCTCAACCATAAATTCCATTTAAAGTTCTCAAATACAAAAGAGTTAACGGTAGGCATAGATGTGTTGGGGGAGGCAGTAGTTTTTGAGACCGGTGACAATAAAGCAAGAAAAGTTCTGATGATGTGTAGTTATCATCACTTATATTCCCAAAGGAGAGATTTTTTTTTCTCGTTTGTCTTTATAGAAGAAGAGTGTTCGGCGTATTTTTCAGGAAATTGCTCAAGAACTATACCATAAGAGACATGTGGAAACAAACCAACGATCTGTAAGTGTAAAATGTCAAAAAAAAAAAAAAAAAAGTAAATACAGATATAAAGCATGTTTGAAAAAACTAAGCTGCCAAGGAGCTGTCAATAACCATGTTTTCCTTCAGAAGAGTCTGAAAGAGTTCTTTTTTTTTTTTTTTTTTTTTTTTTTTTTTTTTTTTGAGACGGAGTCTTGCTCTGTCGCCCAGGCTGGAGTGCAGTGGCCGGATCTCAGATCACTTCAAGCTCCGCCTCCCGGGTTTAGGCCATTCTCCTGCCTCAGCCTCCCGAGTAGCTGGGACTACAGGCGCCCGCCACCTCACCCGGCTAGTTTTTTTTGTATTTTTTTAGTAAAGACGGGGTTTCACCAGGTTACCCAGGATGGTCTCGATCTCCTGACCTCGTGATCCGCCTGTCTCAGCCTCCCAATGAAAGAGAACTTTCACATGAAATGCATTTTTATATAGAACCTGTTTTAATAAATACATAACAAAAGATATCTGATAGAATATTAAATAGCCCCAGGCTGGCTTCTTAGTGACATGGAAACTTTCAGAAACACATTGGACACCAGCAATGTTCTCAATACAGACAATGATGCTTTAAAAGGACGGATTAAAAGCTACTCTGTACGGTATCCTGCATGCAGTGGTGGGCATTCAGTAGATACTGCAAACGTTTGTGGGTCAAATTATGAAAAAAATTACTTATTACTTATAAGGTGAAAATAAATTTACATTAGAAAACATGCAGCTAATGATACTAAAAAATGAGTATTTCTCCAGTGTCTGGAGTTGAACTGAAAAGAAGAATATATCTATACCTATAACACATCCTGAAAGTATTTCTTTCCTTTTTTTTTTTTCTTTCTGAGACAGAGTCTCACTCTGTCGCCCAGGCTGAAGTGCAGTGGAGCAATCTTGGCTCACTGCAAGCTCCGCCTCCCAGGTTCACGCCATTCCCCTGCCTCAGCCTCCCAAGTGAGTAGTTGGGACTGCAGGCGCCCGCCACTACGCCTGGCTAATTTTTTGTATTTTTTAGTAGAGACAGGGTTTCACCGTGTTAGCTAGGATGGTCTCGATATTCTGACCTCATGATCCGCCCACCTAGGCCTCCCAAAGTGCTGGGATTACAGGCGTGAGCCACTGCGCCAGGTCGAAAGTATTTCTTTAAAGTCTTTTTTTTTTTTTCTTTTTTTTTGAAAAAAGTCTCGCTCTGTCGCCCAGGCTGGAGTGCAGTGGCGCGATCTCAGCTCACTGCAAGCTCCGCCTCCCGGGTTCACGCCATTCTCCTGCCTCAGGCTCCTCAGTAGCTGGGACTACAGGCACCCGCCACCTCACCCGGCTATTTTTTGTGCTTTTTAGTAGAGACGGGGTTTCACCGTGTTCGCCAGGATGGTCTCGATCTCCTGACCTCGTGATCCGCCCGTCTCGGCCTCCCAAAGTGCTGGGATTACAGGCTTGAGCCACCGCGCCCGGCTTATATACAGGTTCTACAAACGAAATGTTATCTTAATTCCAGCAGAACAGATACTTTCTTTCCATGATGCATGATGAAATCGCTCAAATAAGCTAAAATGTATACAAAATAAGGTTAATTTATTTTTATTTTTATTTATTTACGGAGTCTAGCTCTGTCTCCCAGGATGGAGTGCAGTGGCGCCATCTCTGCTCACTGTAAACTCTGCCTTCTGGATTCACGCCATTCTGCTGCCTCAGCCTCCCAAGTAGCTGGGACCACAGGCGCCCGCCACCACGCCCGGCTAATTTTTTGTATTTTTAGTAGAGATGGGGTTTCACTGTATTAGCCAGAATGGTCTCGATCTCCTGACCTCATGATTCCCCCGCCTCCGCCTCCCAAAGTGCTGGGATTACAGGCGTGAGCCTATTTTTATTTATTTTTTAAAATTTATGGAGGCCGGGCGCGGTGGCTCAAGCCTGTAATCCCAGCACTTTGGGAGGCCGAGATGGGCGGATCACGAGGTCAGGAGATCGAGACCATCCTGGCTAACACGGTGAAACCCCGTCTCTACTAAGAAATACAAAAACTAGCCGGGCGAGGTGGCGGGCGCCTGTAGTCCCAGCTACTCGGGAGGCTGAGGCCGGAGAATGGCGTGAACCCGGGAGGCGGAGCTTGCAGTGAGCTGCGATCTGGCCACTGCACTCCAGCCTGGGCGACAGAGCGAGACTCCGTCTCAAAAAATAAATAAACAAATAAATAAATAAATAAAATTTATGGAATGCTTCACAAATTTACGTGTCATCTGTGTGCAAGAGCCATGCTAATCTTCTCTGTATCATTCCAATTTTAGTGTATGTGCTGCCAAAGCGAGCACAAAATAAGCTGAACTGATACACTAGTAAAGATATTTTCCTCTTAAACAGCAGCCAAGAGGGCAAATGCATCAGGAGACTGAAATAAGGCAACTTTTTTTAAGTCCAACTTTTACTTTAATTTTTTTCTTTTTAAAAAATATGGAATGCTTCACGAATTTGTGTGTCACCCTTGCCCAGGGGCCATGCTAATCTTCTCTATATTGTTCCAATTTTAGTGTATGTGCTGCCAAAGCAAGCGCTAAAAATCTAACTTTTACAAAGGATTTCTGCCAAGGAAAGAATATCGTCTTAAGTAGTCGTTTCATCCTCCAGTGTATATATGAATACATAAAGATGATAGGTCGTCTAATTACTAAGATGCCATGCTGAGTAATTATAAATCATTTTTCTTTCTGAGGCTGGGACATGTTTTCAACAACAAGGCCAAGGTATGTGGCCTGAAAGCAGTCTTAGAAGTGAGAATTGTAAAGCTCCCAGCCAGGATGTTGACAATAGCATCCAAACAAACAAAACAAAACAAAACAAAACAAAAAAAAACAAAGATTTTTCAGTTCCCACATCCTACTCTATATACGGATGGGGAAATGGTAACCTGGCCTTTAAGATTACTGTATGGGCACTTAGGACCCAGAATCCAAGATGGCCCAATGGTTTGCATGTTCCTTGGCAGGTGGCTTCATTGGTTACATAACCTTAAATATGGCTTTCTATTTATTTATTATTGCAGGAGAAAGACAACACCACTTATGAAAACAGAAGGGTACTTTCCAACTATGAAAGACCATAGAAACGTTTTAATTTTCAATTAAGTCACTGAAAATCCAACTCCAGGAACTATGGCAGTGTTAATGAACATATATCATCAGGTCTTAAAAAAAATAAAGGTAAACAGAAAAGACAACTGGCTACAAAGAAGGATGCCAGAATGTAAGGAAACTATAACTAACAGTCATTATCAAAATACCAAAACCCAACAAAATACAACTGAAAAATACCTTCCAAATTTGCCAAGGGAAAAAAAAAATTCTATTTTAAACATGTATCCTGAGTTTGCTTTATTCAACATGAGATGTGTGATGACTGCCATCCTGAAAATCTGAAGCCAAACCATATGCCTCAGTCTTGAGTGGAAGAATCACCTTTATGGTTTGTGGAAGTCTTGGGACAATCAAAATAAGTTGAGAGGGAGCAACGTAACAAAATTTGAGTTAGAGACATTCATTTTGAAAAGCACCTTAGTCAAAGTTTTTCCCTCTGATGTTGTAATGGGGCAATGGGGTAGCGCACATTTGCCTGCCAGGGTATGAAACATCATGCTACCAGCAAAAGGAGAATAGAATAGTGGCTACAGTAAGACCATAAAAGCCAAAATACAGAAAATCCAAAGCTGAAGGTTAAACAGAGGAAACTTCAGAACAAATAAGCCACAACTGACTCTAGATGTCAGTGTTGTGCCAAGTAACAGCACCAGGGAAGATGTGGGCAACACATCTACTTTACAAGCACGTTTGTAATACTGATTTTTTTTCTTTTGTTTTTTTTGAGACAAAGTCTCATTCGGTTGCCCAGGCTGGAGTGCAGTGGTGCGATCCGGCTCACTACAACCTCCACCTCCCAGGTTCATGCCATTCTTCTGCCTCAGTTTCCCAAGTAGCTGGGATTACAGGTGCGCGCCACCATGCCCAGCTAATTTTTTTCTTTTTTTTCTTTTTTTTTTTTGGTGTGTATTTTTAGTAGAGATGGGGTTTCGCCATGTTGGCCTGGCTAGTCTCAAACTCCTGACCTCAAATGATCTGCCCGCCTTGGCCTCCCAAAGCTGGGATTACAGGTGTCAGCCACTGCGCCCAGCCTATAATACTGATTTTTAACCAATTTAGGAGGGAAATGTCAGATAGGATTCATGGTACAGCAAGGATATTTATGGAATTCATTACCACTTCACTAAGAAAACATGACATAAATTGTCCTTTGAAAGCTACTTTGGTATAAAAAAATCTAAAGTGCCCATAAGTATGCATTCATTATTAGACACAAATTACAACCTTACAACCTACTGTGTTTATTTCATTAAAGTGTTTCTTTTAAACTGGTATTGCCTAAGGTGTATTCTTTATAAAATTTAGAATTTTAAAATACTTTAAGATTCCTTTGAAAGTATTTTTGCATTGATGGTTTAAATCAGTGGTATCAAACTTTCCTGATCATATGTGCCCAGAAAAATGGGCAGAGGAAAGGAGGCAGCATGGAACCTCATTTTTTTATGTGTATCAGTGTATATATGTGACTGCACATGTGTATATGTGTGGGGTTACATGTGTTTTGTATACAGTATATGCGTGAATATGTACGTTTGTACCTTATACACAAAAACAGAAATTAAACAATGGCATAAGCAGCAATATAAATAAAAAATGCTAATATTTTCCTGCCATATTCCAAAATAAACTGTTTTGTGTACTCTGCAGTGTATACTTCCCCACTCTGAGACCACTAGCTCAGGTAAAGTAATAAGCTTCTAAGCCAGACTGCAAAAAAGGGCAAACACTAATACCATCAAAATGAACAGAAGTGTTGAATTCAATCATTTATTTTTAATTTCTGGGAGGCATTACATTTTGGTACTGAATTTCAGGGCTGAAAATACACTGTTCATTGTGTAACTAACCAGGAGACAAAATCCCTAAGATAAACTAGTATTTGACTCACAATATGCCTTTCCCATGTAAGCAAGGACCATGTTTCAAAGATCAATTTTGAAGCTGAAATATGAAATATACTTTTGCAAAGAGTTCCATTCCTCTAGGTCATATGTAAGAATATCTGGTGTATACACAGTATTCATTCATTTATTCATCTATCCCACCAACAGTATTTATTTTCAAACTTCAAAACAAGTTTTATTTGGGAAATTCCTTATTTTGTTAAAGCTACAAGCAAGTTTCTTTCCAAATTACACTTCTAGAGATCTAGCAGTTTCAGAGATCTCAGTGTTCAAAAGTATATTTCGAAATTAACAAGAAAACCAAACCCACATCAAAAGGAAATAGCTTTCAGATTAGTTTGGAATGTACAGTCATTGATTTCAGGTGCCAACAATATTTACTGAGTGCTACACTACACAATCAAAGGCCTCTTTTGCAACCTATGCTTGGGTCATACTGAACTTGCTCCACCCCCACACAAACCTTATTCACACTTTCATGCTTTTGCACATGCTGTTCCCCTCAGCCTGGTAAAACACTTCAGACTACAAACACAGCTCACCTCAACATGAAACCTTCCCTAACTCACCCAGAGGCTAACAGATCTTTTCGTCTCTAATTCTTCAGTACTTACTTTGACATATTTCTTACCACAATTTCCCGCCATTATCTGTTGATATCTATATTCTGTACTATTCTGTGTTTTAAGAGCGAAAGCATGATTCTCATTTATCTCTGTATTTCCACTTGGTACACAGTAGGCCCTCAAATGCCTTTCAATAAATGCAACTGAACAATATTGCTACAGAAAAATGTTCCTTCAGCATTTAAATTGAAATTTGTAGCATACGTCAGTCCCTCACCATGAAGCTACACCCCTTTCCATAAAGACCATTCAACAAACCCCAACAGTATTAATTGTCCTGCTATCTGAGCATCCAGAAACATTTTCACTGAAAAGGATTAAGCTGTAACTTTTTTTTTTTCTTCTTGAGGAGTTTCACTCTTGATGCGCAGGCTGGAGTACAATGACGTGATCTCGGCTCAATGCAACCTCTGCCTCCAGGGTTCAAGCAATTCTCCTGCCTCAGTCTCCTGAGTAGCTGGGATTACAGGTGCACGTCACCACACCTGGCTACTTTTTCTATTTTTAGTAGAGACGGGGTTTCACTATGTTGGGCAGGCTGGTCTTGAACTCCTGACCTCAGGTGATCTGCCCACCTTGGCCTCCCAAAGGGCTAGGATTACAGGCATAAGCCACCACACCCAGCCTAAGCTGTAACTTTCTGTTTAGATTTGAGTTTCCCATGACAATGAAAAAAGAATTAATACTGAAACAACTTGTTTTAGTTTGAGCTACAAAAACAAATTACCATAGACTGAGTGGCTTATGAATAACAGAAATTTATTTCTCACAGTTCCGGAGGCTGGAAGTCTGAGATCAGGGTGCCAGCATCATTGAGTTCTGGTGAGGACCCTCTTTCTAGGGTACAGGCTGCTGACCTCTTGTTGTATCCTTGCATGGCAGAAGGCAGAGAGAAGCAAGGTCTCTCAGAACGCTTAAAAGGGCATTCATCCCATTCAGGAGGGCTCTGCTCTCATAATCTCATCTAATCCTAATCACCTCCCAAAGACCCCACGTCCTAATACCATCACGATGGGGGGTGGGAGCCTCAACATATATATCTGTTGATATATATATCAACAAACACGCAGTCTATAGCACAACTTTAAGAGGGAAACGTAATCACAGCACTTTGGGAGGCTGAGGCGGGGGCATCACTTGAGGTCAGGACTTCAAGACCAGCCTGGCCAACATAGCGAAACCCTGTCTCTACTAAAACTACAAAAATTAGCCTGGTGTGGTGGCACACATCTATAATCCCAGCTATTCCATGGGCTGAGGCAGGAAAATTGCTTGAACCCAGGAGGCGGAAGTTGCAGTGAGTAAGCCAAGATCGTGCCACCGTATTCCAGCCTCAGTGACAGAGTGAGACTCCATCTCAAAAACAAACAAACAAACAAACAAAACAACCATCTCAAGCCAAACAACAGCAACTTCAAGTAAAAAAAAAAAAAAAAATTAGCATCATAAAGTAGAAATATTTTCATTAAAGTTAGAAACAAGGCCAGGTGCAGTGGCTCACACCTATAATCCCAACACTTTGGGAGGCCAAGGCAGGCCAATCACTTAATCCCAGGAGTTCAAGACCAGCCTGGGCAACACCGCCAGACTTCCTCTCTACCAAAAAAATACAACAGTTAGATGGGTGTGGTGGCATGCACCTGTAGTCCCACCTACTCAGGAGGCTGAGGTGGGAGAACAGCTTGAGCCCAGGAGGTCAAGGCTGCAGTGAGCTATGATAGCACCACTGCACTCCAGTCTGGGCAACAGAGCGAGTCCCTGTCAGAAAAGAAAGAAAAAGAAAAAGAAAAGAAAAAAAAGAAAAAGAAAAAAGAGGGGAGGGGAGGGTGTTTTGTTTTTAAACATTACAAAGCAAATTGCTATCTAGAGACCTCCTCTAGTAAAGTTATACATCTAGTGGTGTGCTGGTAAATGTGTAACTACCAGTTTGGAGAAGAAAAAGGCTATTTGCAGTGTTTGTCCATTTTTACAGTGTAAATACTCCCATAATGGTCAATTTCAATAATGGCCATGTTTAACAACCAGTTCACTAAATTCCTACCAAAACAACAATCAGCTCTCATGAATCAGTCCAAGCCAGCTCCGGCATCTACAGCTTACATCTGGACAACCATGTGGAGACATATGTGCTGGTAAGAACTACTTTCCTAGATACATTTAAGTGGAAAAAGGCAACAGAAGTATTTATAATTGGGTACTGCCTGTATAAACAACTTTTTAAATGTACATACATACTTATATTTGCATAGATTATCTTTTAAAGAATATTAAAGAAACCTGAACAAGATGTGGAACAGGAGTGGATGAGAAACTTTTCTGTTGTTGTTTGAGACGGAGTCTGGCTCTGTCGCCCATGCTGGAGTCCAGTGGCGCAATCTCGGCTCACTGTAAGCTTCGCCTCCTGTGTTCACGCCATTCTCCCGCCTCAGCCTCCCGAGTAGCCGGGAGTATTGGCGCCGGACACCGCGCCCAACACCATGCCCAGCTAATTTTGTTTTTGTATTTTTAGTAGAGATGGGATTTCACCGTGTTAGCCACGATGGTCTTGATCTCCTGACCTTGTGATCCGCCAGCCTTGGCCTCCCAAAGTGCTGGGATTACAGGCGTGAGCCACTGTGCATAGCCGAGAAACTTTTTATTGTAAACCCTCTAGTAAGTTGTTTGAGCTATTTTTTTAAATTACTGAATTACTTTTTAATAAAAATTACATTTTTGAAAAAGTAAACACCATTAAATTTTTATTTTTATAATATAATTATCCTTTTCTTGACTACATATCTTTCCTTCTTGGGGGGGGGGGTACTTAAAATAATTCTCACTATATTCAATAACCCCTAGCCAAAACTGGGTCAGTAAGCCAAATAAACTGAAATTAGAATATTTTTTTCATTTTACTTTTTTCCAAAAAGCAAAACTGCTGTGGTTCAACTTCAAGTCATTTACCAAAACAATTATATAAGTAATCATTTCACCTACAACTACTTTTAGTTAAAAAAAATAAATTAAGGCAAGTATGCAAAGCACACTCAGGTATCTTCCAACAGTCCAGCATTCATAAATCTACACAGCAAGACCATTTTGCATCTCCCAGTCCTCACGGTTTCACATGGAAATCATCAAGATCTAGTGACTCAGAGAAAAAAAGCAATAATAGCGTGCTGTGGCGCGTCTGCAAAATTTACAGGTCACTGAAAGTCACCCATAGCAACAAGGCTTCTTGTCTCAGGTCTGCAGTGTGTCACATGCCAGACTCCTCAGACTCAACAGGCAGCTCTGCACATCCACAATCAAGGAGCTTGTTTTCCACCCTTCCTGGAGACTGCCCTCTTGTCTAGCTTGACTTCCTCTCCATTTTTAGCATCAGACACACAAGGAAATAAAATTCGTGGTTAGATTGATGTTTCTTCCCCCTGCTCTTTCACCTCCTGCTATGCCAGGAAGTAGCATTAAAGTTCTATCATGTGGTTGTCCAACAGGACACAGGAACGCAGGACCTTCCAACCTGACGACTAGTGAGTGCAGTGTAGAGAGCTGGAGCTGAGGCTTAATTACACAGGGAGTAGTAGCACTGAAGTAAGATCAGGTTGCTGAATCACAAAGGAGGACATTTTGCAACATATAGATGATATATGTACACTCACATTTAAAAGCATTTTTTGTTTACCATGACAAGCCACTCAACAACAGGAACATAAAATGGAGATCTAAGATGGGAAACGGGAGATTTGTTCTCTCTGTTCTTTTCCACACCCTTCTATATCGAAAGAATTCCCCATTTTCCCCATTATCAACACAAATCTGAAACCATTTGGTAAATATTAAGACAAGAATTAAATCTGAAGGCAGTAAGATCTGGGGAGAAAAAATAACAAACAAGAAATTAAATTAATTTGTGACACCACAAATCCACACAGAATCCAATGGTTATAAGAAACAAGGGCATTATTCCTTAAGACATAGATTTTCATGATATTTGATGATGACGACATTTGCAAAATAGTAATAGATTTCTTCAAAATGTCTGTGAGCTCTTAAGAGTTTCTGAAGTCAAGGTCAATTGAGGCAATAAAATAGAAAATCTAAAGATTTTTCAGCCGGGCATGGTGGCTCACACCTGTAATCTCAGCATTTTGGGAGGCAGAGGCGGGAGGATCACCTGAGATCAGGAGTTAGAGACCAGCCTGGTCAACATGGCAAAATCCCATCTCTACTGAAAATACAAAAGTTAGCCAGGCATAGTGGCATGTGCCTATAGTCCCAGTTACTTGGGACACAGGAGGCTGAGGAAGGAGAATTGCTTGAACCCATGAGGTGGAGGTTGCAGTGAGCCGAGATCGCGCCATTGCACTCCAGCCAGGGCAACAGAGCAAGGCTCTGGCTCGGAAAAAAAAAAAAAAAGAAAGAAAGAAAAAAAAGAAACACTAAAGATTTTTAAATAGTAACTTGTATAATTCATAAAATAAATAATTGTATATTAATGTACATTAACTTATGAAAATGCAGGAGACTTCAAGTCATAACTTTCAAGATGACCTAAAATGCAAACCACATAAACTAAAACTATAAATTAATGTGGCATTAAGTCAGAATGGCCAGAAGTCACAGTAACTATGAAGTGATATGAAATCAACCCGTTTCTTCTAACATATTCTTCATTCAATATTGCTGAAAAGCAAGACCATGCAATCAAAAAATCAAATGTTACAGAAAGAAATGATACATGCTGCAACACATATGGTCTTCAAAAGAGAAAAAAACAAATAAGAGCATTTATCATTTTTAGAGTCTGGCACAAGAGATACAAAACACAGAACAAAACAGCCATGACATTCAGCAAGTATATATGACCAGATTTAAAGGAACTGTTTATTGCTCGATTCAGTTGGAAAACTAATAAATAAATGGTTCAAGCTCCATTTAAAACCAGAGATACAGATGCATTTTTGGCTTTCAATCTCAAGCAGTCAGACCCAGCTAAATATTAATTATTACTACTGCAGGGGGAATGCTAGATCTCTATAAAGTCCACCTTAAGGTGAACATTAACCAAGGTGGTGTTTTACATGGATTAACTGGATTACTTTAAACTGCAGGCTATTATGAGAAATACTAGACAGTGTTTAATTGTACACAGCAAAAAATCACAAATACCAATAAACAGCTATCCTCGGTAACAGCCAGCCTGACTGACCACACTTACCGTTTTCCACATAGGGATGAAAGGGGAGGACCAGGGCCAGGATGACCCTGCCTCTAGTTGGCTCCAAGACACTTCTGATATCTTTTAACAAAGTCAGGGGCTGATCACAGCGGTCCAGCAAGTTCAGGCAGCTGATGACATCATACTGGAACCCTGTATTCTGCCATTCATTTATACCAAGCACTCTAGAAAAATCAGAAATAACTGTATTAACATCTCTCTAAAGACATCTTTAAAAATAACTGAGATGACAGTAAAGTCTTTAACTTTGTCTTCTAAATTAAGTTCAAAATCTTCTGTTATAATTTATGTTTGCAATAATGACATGGCCAGGGAAGAGAAAAATAGCAATCATATTTCTTTTTTTTTTTTTTTTTTTTTGAGATGGAGTCTCAACTCTGTTGCCTAGGTTAGAGTACACTGGAGTAATCTCGGCTCATGGTAACCTCCACTTCCTGGGTTCAAGCGATTCTCCTGCCTCCACCTCCTGAGTAGCTGAGATGACGGGCAGGCGCCACCACGCCCAGATAATTTTTGTGTTTTTAGTAGAGACAGGGTTTCACCAGGTTGGCTAGGCTGATCTTGAACTCCTAACCTCAAGCGATCTGACTGCCTCAGCCTCCCAAAGTGCTGGGATTACAGGTGTGAACCACCATGCCTGGCCCATATTTCTTTAAATTTAACATTTCACCTATTTCCAAATCTCAACACATATGAAATTTTCTTTACAAGAACTAATCATGTTTAGTAAGTATGAAGATGTAACCTGATAAAGTTATGAAACTAAAACATCAAATTCTTGAATATCAGTATAGAACAAGAGTCCTGCTTTCTACCACTCATTGGAACTTAATCAAAAAATATATCATATAATTAATGTTTTCTACTCCTAGGATCCCTTCTATTCTTAAAAATGGCTTGGGAGTGGTATAAAATAATTTCCATTGATAAACTTATGACCTTTGAGCACATTTCTGTTCCCAGGAAAGACATATTTCATACTTGAGAATCTTCATATCTAAATAACTACACAAAAAAGGGCCAGGCACGGTGGCTCACACCTGTAATCCCAGCACTTTGGGAGGCCAAGGCGGGTGGATCACAAGGTCAGGAGATTGAGACCATCCAGGCCAACATGATGAAACACCATCTCTACTAAAAATACAAAAATGAGCTGAGTGTGGTGGTGTGTGCCTGTAATCCCAGCTACTTGGGAGGCTGAGGCAGGAGAATCACTTGAAACAGGGAGGCGGAGGTTGCAGTGAGCCGAAATCATATCACTGTACTCCAGCATGGGGACAGAGCGAGACTCCATCTCAAAACAAAAAAAAAACAAAAACTATACAGAAAAGATAAAGCCCAGGACATCCTATTAACACTAAGCATGGTTTAAAAAAAAAACCACTCTCGACCCTCAATCTCTCACTTTCATATACACACACAGAACACAGAGAACATTTTCAGTCCTCTACAATGTTATCTCTAGAAAGGGGGAGTTTTTATATCAAGAGTCTTTGTTAGCCACACAATTAGGCAATTTTACAAATTACTTACTCCTGCTTGGTTATACCAATCAGAATGTGGTAGGTGAGACATGTTACGATAGAGACAGGTAAAAAAGGAAACATAAAAAAAGGATCTTTGGTAAACAAGTCTTTAGTAATGTTGAGCAGATACTGTAAGATAGCTCAGAAAATTCTAAAAGTATAATGAGGGCTGTTTTGAAACCCTCATTAGCATAATGATTTTTTTATAGCATTTCTGAATAGCAGAATTTTAAAAACACAAAGCACTTAGTTTCATTTTCTTTTCAATCTGTATTTTTGTCAAACTAAAGCCTCTTCCAAATAGCTGCCTAACAAACTTCCAGGGACTAGTCAGATTCCTTACTGGAGCAGGTGTTTCAATGTACTAAATACTGTTTGAAGTAAGTAGGGCATTCTGGCTTCAAAATCACTTTGTTGTACTAAGTCAACTGTAATAGTAATTTTGGAAACTCAATTTAGCTTATTCAAAGAGTTTCCAAACACTACTCAGAAGACTACTTTCAGAACAAAAATGTCATCAATTCCCATTCTAAAAAATGGAAATTAATAAAGAAAGGACTATTTGTATATATTAATGCCTTAGCTAAGCAGCCAATTTAAAGTCATAAACTGTAAAATACAAATTATATATCTGATTTTAAAAAACAAAACAACAAAAAAATCTTACGTCTATCTGCAATGAAGCAGAAGCCAAACATCATCAGCATGGTCCAATTTAAATAATCTCACTAAATCTACCTCAGAATTAGTTTCAGATAGGTAGCCTCTGTGTTGGTAATTTTGGAAGAGAAATATATGCTCACAACAGAAAACGATGACTAACACCAAGACAGTTAAATCTATACCTATAGAAGCTCAAGTGCATCCTTACTTCTGTTTTGTGATTTTTATTTGAAAACTCACTCAGTTCCACTGATGAAGACAAATTGCTTAGCCCCACTAAAACTGCCTATTAGCCCAGGAATCCTAACAAGGTGTCAGAATTTTCCTCTTTCTAAAACATATTTCTAAACCTAGAATGAGGGTATCTATTCAGCAGATTATTATTTTCAAGAAAATGAGTTAATAACTCCAGAAGGATGTAAAATATATTTCTCTTTAGAGAATGATAAAGCAGTCAGGCGTGGTAGCTAACATCTGTAATTCCAGCACTTTGGGAGGATTGCTTGAGCCCAGGAGTTTGAGACCAGCCTGGGCAACACAACGAGACCCCATCTCTATAAAAAATTAAAAATAGCCAAGGATGGTAGCACATGCCTGTAGTCCTAGCTAAGCTACTTGGGCAGCTGAGGCAGAAGGATGGCTTGAACCAAGAGTTTGAGGTTACAGTGAGCTATGATTGCGTCACTGCACTCCTGCCTGGACGACAAAGCAAGATCCTGTCTCAAATAAAAGGGCCAGGCACAGTGGCTCACACCTGTAATCCTAGCACTTTGGGAGGCCAAAGCGGGCAGATTACCTGAGCTCAGGATTTCAAGACCAGCTGGGCAACACAGTGAAACCCCATCTCTACTAAAATATAAAAACTTAGCCGGGCGTGGCAGCATGCGCCTGTAGTCCCAGCTACTCGGGAGGTTGAAGCAGGAGAATTGCTTGAACCCGGGAGGCAGAGGTTGTACAGTGAGCCGAGATGGTGCCACTGCACTCCAGCCTGGGCAACAGGGTGAGATTCCGTCTCCCAAAAAAAAAAAGAAAAAAAAAAAAGGAAAAGATGCTTTGCCATCTCAGGTTGGGAGAGCTCTAAACTTAGGAAATAAGCAATCAGTATTTTGATAAATCCTAAATAAAAAATGAAACACCAACAATATAAAAAAAAGTATTGTCTTGCTGTAAAAATCAAAACCACATCCTTTAGTTTTACAATTGGGTTTTCTGGCATAAACAATGACAACTTGGGAAGATAAAGGAAAAACTGGGCCATTTTCTGTTTATTGACCTATTTTTAAAATACAGAAACTTTAGCTGGGCACAGTGGCTCACGCCTGTAATCCCAGCACTTTGGGAAGGCAAGGCGGGCAGATTACCTGAGCTCAGGAATTCGAGACCAGCCTGGGCAATACAGTGAAACCTCATCTCTGCTAAAATACAAAAAATTTAGCTGGGTGTGGCAGCGTGCACCTGTAATCACAGCTACTTGGGGAGGCTGAGGCAGGAGAATCACTTGAACCCGGGAGGCAGAGGTTGCAGTGAGCTGAGATCGTGCCACTGCACTCCAGCCTGGGTGACAGAGCGAGCCTTCGTCTCGAAAAATTACAGAACCTTTATTTTAAAAGGCATGTTTTGCTCACGCCTATAATATCAGCACTCTGGGAGGCCAAGGGAAGAGGACTGTTTGAGGCCAGGAGTTCAAAACTGGCCTGGTCAACATAGTGAAACTCGTGTCTCCAAACATATGACACACAAACAAAACACACACACGCGCGCGTGCGCACACACACACACACACACACTCTCAAATTAGCCAGATATGGAAGCAGGCACCTGTAGTCCCAGCTACTGAGGAGGCTGAGGTGAGAGGATCACTTGAGCCCAGGAGTTCAAGGCTGCAGTGAGCTATAATCACGCCACCATGCTGTAGCCCAGGTGACAGAGACCCTGTCTCTAAAAATGCACATATTAATTAATAATAAAAAGCCTGTTTTTCATGGCCCAGATATTGAAGAGAAACAGAAAATAGTTCTAATCTCAAAAGGAAGAAAAAACTGTAAAATTAAGCTGAAAGTCTACCTTGCCATCTTGGATTGGGAGACCTCTAAACTTAGGAAATAAAGATACCACTTCCTCGTTAAAACCTCAAACTGCACCAATAGTTACAAAATTTACCACTTTTGTGACAAGATTTTCACTTCATACTAACATTATGAAAGGAATGCCAATCAGTATGAATTTCCCGTGTAGGTCAAACTGCAGGTTTTTGGCTTATGTGCTGTATACAAGGGAAAAAATTAAACCAAGTATTTTTTATGTGGTAGATATCTTTACATACCATGTACACTCCAGATATATTACTAATTCAAACATCTAAAGTTTCACTGAAAATTCCATTTAGACACTTAGAATAAAAGAAAAAGAAGACTGGGGTGGTTAATCATCTGAAGATGGGTTTAACACCTTCCTCTTCGACCCACTTCAAAGCATGGATTTTTTAAAGGGGAGCTGGAATCAGATTAGGAATTCAGCCTGACTTAAGCCACTGTTATAACAAAGGTCAAAGCATTCCAAGTTTTGAAATGCCAAATTAATTTCTAACTGAAGGAAAACATGTCAATTATTACTATGCAGACCCACCAGAACCTTATCTGAGACAGACTGCTAAAGCTAAGGGGCTTTCTAATCACTAGGCTCAACTTCCTAATGTCTCTTCCTATAACATCCCTAACAGCAATTCAAACACTGACAGTGATAAGGACTTAAGACGGTTCAAGCTAGGAAGGTCGATTTCCCTAAGCTGTAACTCAACTTCTAAGGCAGAGCTGTGCCTGATCATACCAAAGACTACACCTACTCCTTTCCTTCCATATAAAAATCCCACAGAGTATCTGTTCACAGTAATCTTCCCTTCTCCAGGCTAAAAATTTCCATGTTTTGCAAATGCTCAAACCAGTGCTGCTCTAAAAGCTACACTGATGGTGTCTCTAGGGTTAATCTGCAAAAGTAGAAACATGTGGATCGGAAAGTGAGTGATTACATAATTCTTTCTCCTTTCTCTCTAAGGCTAACTAGACTTCCAAAAATATCACAGAGAAGGAGGCTGACTCCAGCTCTACCTCCCCCATTCTGCACTGAGCCAAGAGACAGAAATCTCCCAATCAATAAATCATACTGAAATAAGAATACCCTTCTTCTGGCTGGGTGCGGTGGCTCATGCCTGTAATCCCAACAAATCTTGGGAGGCCAAGGCAGGCGGATCACGAGGTCAGCAGTTTAAGACCAGCCTGGCCAACATAGTGAAACCCAGTCTCTACTAAAAATACAAAAAAAAATTAGCCAAGCATGGTGACGTGTGCCTATAGTCCTAGCTACTCAGCAGGATGAGGCAGGAGAATCACTTGAATCCAGGAGGTGGAGGTTTCAGTGAGCCAAGATCACGCCACTGCACTCCAGCTTGGGTAACAGAGTGAGACTTCATCTCCAAAAAAAAAAAAGAAAATTATCCTTCTTCCTAGTCTTTCAAGCTCCAGATGACCTTAAAACCAAAATTAACACTGATGACTATATATTAAAAGCAAAACAAAACAGAAAATAGCAAGTATTGTTAAAGAGTGGAGAAACTGGAACCCTTGTACTACATTGCTGGTAGGAATGTAAAATGGTGCGGCAGCAATGGAAAAGTATTGCAATTCGTCAAAAAATTAAACCCAGACTCAGCCATGTGATCCAGCAACTCCACTTCTGGGTCTATACCCAAAAGAAGAACAAGTAGGGGCTCAAGTAGGTATTTGTACACCCATGTTCATAGCAGCATTATTCACAACAGCCAAATGGCAGAAACAACCCAAGTATCCACTGACAGATAAATGGGTAAACAAAACGTGGTACATGCATACAATGAACTATTACTCATCCTTAAAGAAAATTTTGGGCTAGATGCAGTGGCTCACACCTGTAATCCCAGCACTCTGGATTACTTAAGGTCAGGAGTTCGAGACCAGTCTGGCCAAGTAGTGAAACGCTATCCCTACTAAAAATACAAAAAAAATTAGCCAGGCATGGTGGCATACGCCTGTAATCCCAGCTACTTGAGAGGCTGAAGCAGGAGAATTGCTTGAACCTGAGAGGTAGAGGTTGCAGTGAGCTGAGATCACGCCACTGCACTCCAGCCTGGGCAACAAGAACGAAACTCCATCTCAAAAAAAAAAGAAAGAAAGAAAGAAAATTTTGGCCCATGTACAACATGAGTAAAACCTTGAGTAAACCTTGAAGACATTATGCTACATGAAATAGGCCAGTCTCAAGGAGCTAATGTATATAATTCCTCTTATACAAAGTACCCAGAATAGTCAAATTCATAGACAAAGTAGAATGGTGGTTGTCAGGGGTTAGGAGGAGGGAAAAATGGGGAGTTACTGTTTATTGGGTACAGAGTTTCCATTTTGGAAGATAAAAAATTCTGGAGATGAACAGTGGTGATGATTGTGCAACGATATAAATGTACCTAATACCACTGAACTGTACACTTAAAAATAGTTAAAATAGTAAATTCTATGCTATGTATATTTTAACACTACTTAAAAAAATTTTTTTTGAGAATGCCAGATTCTTATTAGGGAAGAAGTCCCTTCTTCTGATCTGCCTTTTCCAAGCTATCTCTCGCTAGTCCTTTCCTTCCCTATAGTGCCAACCCCTCTGCTCCAGGAAAATACTGCCACCAGAAGATTATTTCTCTATATTTCCAGCTACTTATGTATTACATGATTTTTTTTTAAATTCCTAATCATGGAAGACCATTTTTGATTCGTATCCTTTAAATAATAAACTTTCAAGAAGAAATGCATCTAAAACCAAAAAATATACCCCATGTCTAAAAATTATACCTGTATTTCTTTTTCTGAAGCTGCCATATCATAGTTTCAGAAAGCTCAGTGGCATAGATTTCTTCAAAATGAGGGCTCATGATTTTTGTGACTTCTCCATCTCCAGCACCTAAATCAAGAAGTCTGTGGGTTTTCCAGTCTGGATTAATTTTAAGCAGTCTCTGAAATTGATCTGGTGAAAACACAAACATTGAGCCTCTTCCTAGCAACCTGAAAAAAAAAAAAAAGGACAAAAATCGAAGTGTCTATGCAAATTAACCACCCCTTACCATACACATACAAAGTGAATATAGTGACTCAGCACCAACAACCATAATCACTTATTACACGGTTAAGTTTTTTTTTTTTTTTTTAGGCAATGTCTCACTCTGTCGCTCAGGCTGGAGTGCAGTGGCACGATCTCGGCTCACTGCAACCTTCACCTCCTGGGTTCAAGCAATTCTCCTGTCCCAGCCTCCCAAGTAGCTGGGATTACAAGCGTGCACCACCACACCTGGCTTATTTTTTGTATTTTTAGTGGAGACGGGGTTTCACCATGTCGGCCAGGCTGGTCTCGAACCCCTGATCTCAGGTGATCCACCCGCCTCAGCCTCCCAAAGTGCTGGGATTACAGGCATAGGCCACTGCGCCTGGCCTTTTTTTTTTTTTCTGAAACAGAGTCTCACCGTGTCGCCCAGGCCGGAGTGCAGTGGCGCGATCTCTGCTCACTGCAAGCTCCGCCTCCTGGGTTCATGCCATTCTCCTGCCTCAGCCTCCCGAGTAGCTGGGACTACAGGCGCACACCACCACACCTGGCTAATTTTTTGTATTTTTAGTAGAGACCAAGTTTCACCGTGTTAGCCAGGATAGTCTCGATCTCCTGACCTCGTGATCCACCCGCCTCAGCCTCCTAAAGTGCTGGGATTACAGACATGAACCACCATGCCCAGCCAAGATATTATCTTTTGTATCATTTCTATGATTAGAAGACAAAGTTAATAAAATAAGAAAATGCCTCCAGATATCATTTGTCTTTGGAGTTGCAAATAATGTCCCAAAAAAGCATGGGAAGAGGGAAATAAAAGGTGGAAAGGGGAACGGATGACAGGGGAAGGAAGAAGAAATAAGAGATGAAGGTGAAGAACTTAAGTCAAAATAGGAAGGAAAAGTAGAAGGAGTAACAGAAAACATGTTTATCAGTTGAAAAAGATGACAAGCTAACACAGCTAGACCAGAGTAGCAGAGAAACCAAATAGGAAAAAAAAGTGATTTCAAATATGGAATTAAACCATGGATCAGGAAAAAAAGAGCTTTAGTATGATAGATTTTTAAGAGACACTAGAGAAAAGAGGGAAAAGAGTGGTCCTTGTGATGTCGGTTAATATGCATTAAAGTAGATTCATACTTATGTCAGTTTATATGGTTACAACTGTCTGGGTCCTATTATTTCTAAAGGTCCTAGAAAACACTCAAAACCATAGTAATGCCATTGAAAAAAGAGACTGAGGGGAGTTTAAATGGAGATCAAAGAGAACCCTCAGAAAAGCAACTATAGGTCCAGCCAAGTCTCATGGATGCATCACCGTGGGAAATAAAATGCACTCCCTATTTAGGACTTGTTTTCTAGCTCTGAAATTCTAGTTTATCTAGGGCAGGGATTCTCAACCCTCCATTAAGCAGCAGAACCCTTTCTTTAAATGAAGTGGAACTCACAGACAATATAAGATCCTAAGAGAGCAGCTGCTGTTCGAATGAGGTTGGGAGCCCAGGAGCTGTGGCCAGCCCACTTCTAGGCCTTTCTCTGCAGCCTGAAGCAGTTCCTGAGGCACTTCCTCCTCAGACTCTGGAAAACAGTCTGGGGACCACTGGTCTAGGAAGTGGCAGGCAAACCTGTTCTGTACTGCTGCTCTCTGGAAACAATCATAAGTTACATAATGTTTGCTGCTATACAGTGACTGGAAAGATGCATGCAACATGGTGCCCAATGTAAGACCAGTTTTAGGAAGAAATACGAATAATGGAGCTCATGTAACAAAGTCCCCCTTCCTTTTCCCATCATGGCCATAGGAAAGTTTAACCAAGTTTACAGTAAATCTTCTGCCCCACAGAAATGCTAGAAAATTGGAGAGAGAAAGACCTCAGAGACCACTAAACGTGATGCTACCGACTACAACTGCTTACTAAAGACAATCACGTCTCATAAAAGACGAGTTGTTTTAATCCTCAATTGTTCATATATTACAGTAAGAAAATAGCAAATCTGAACTTGCTGAAGTAGTTGTACAAAATTTAACACAGAAACCAGAGTCACAGCAGAAAGAGGCTACTGGCAGCATGGCTGAGGGAAGGTGAGTTTCACTCAAATACTGATGCTGACTTGCCACAGGACCAAAAGTAAGTCACAAAACAGTCATTTTGCTTAAATTTTCCCAGAGCATGCTTCCCAAGCCATCTCCTTGGGATGTGAGGAACCTTGACATGATAATTATAAAATTCTAGAACTAGAGGTCACCTGAGCTCAGAGCTCACAAGTTCATCTGACTGGTCTACATTTAAAGGCACCAGAGGCTGGGCATGGTGGCTCACGTCTGTAATCCCAGCATTTTGGGAGGCCGACGTGGGAGGATCTCCTGAACCCAGGAGTTTGAGACCAGCCTGGGCAACATGGTGAAACCCCGTCTCTACAAAAAATACAAAAATTAGCCAGGCACAGTGGCATGAGCCTCTAGTCCCAGCTACCTGGAAGACTGAGGCAGGAGGATTGCTTGAGCCTGAGGAGGTCAAGACTGCAGTGAGCCATGACTGTGCCACTGCACTCCAGCCTAGGCAATAGAGTGAGACCCTGTCTCCAAAAAAAAAAAAGAAAGAAGGCACTAGAGAGAGAGGGGAAGGACTGTCCTATTTCCAAAGAACATGAGCAACAGAGGCTCTACAAAAAGATTAACACTGTCAAAAAATAAATCAAAATCCATCAAGCCCAGTGTTTATCAACCAGGATGAATTTTGCCCTCTAGGGGGCAATGGGAGTAGACAGGAGAGTTTCCAGTAATCACAAGGACCTGAGGGTACTACTGCCATTCAGTGGGCAAGGCCAGAAAAGTTAAGACTTCCTGCAGTGTAGGGGGCAGTCTCACACAATGAAGAACAGTCTCACCTAAAATACCAAGCCTAGTACAAAGTTTCCCATAAACACAAACCGTGAAGAGATATGACCCTCTAATTTGGGTTTAACTTTAGTGTTTAATAACCATCCTACGTTCTCTGGTCACAATCTAAGTTCTCACTAGACTTAAGAGTCTATGAAGAGGTGTGCCTCTTCCTTATAAAATAAACTCTGGAACATCTATTAAGTCTTTCCTTACTTAGCCTTCTCCTTTCCAGCATAAAGGAAGTTTGGTAAGTATCTTAAAGTAATTCCAGACAATACCACCGTAATGATTTCTGTGAGAGATGGCCACCTGTAGTAATAATCTCCCACTGCCATGGCTGGAAAGTATTGATGGGCCCTAAATTTAATTTTTAGTTGAGAATAGGACACAAGGCAAGAGGGATTAAAAGCAGGGTAGGTTTCAGAAGAAAAAAGCAGAAGAGTTTTAAGTAAGGGAAGCCAAAGGGGTTTACTAACTGTATTGCGTCTTTGATCAAACTGTGAAATTCTAGAGCAGGGAATTTTAACCAGGGTCTTATGGGTAGAGGAAAGGGGAAATAAAAGTTTGAAACCCCCAAAATCATACATAAAATGTTGAATGTAAGCACTTTTTGAAGAGAGGATTCCTACCTTTTATTACTTTCAAAGAGCTACAGGACTCTAGAAAGGATAAGAATCTCTGCTACAGTGACTCATCAGAATTCCAAAGGAAGAATAAATGGTATAGAACAGAAATTCAATATAACCAATTTAAGGAACAAAATGTCAGACCAAGTTGTATCAACTCAACTACCCATATAAAAATAACAACTGCTTGCCAAAGCAAACGTATGGCAATTTCACATAAACAATGAAGAAAATCAACTGAGAAATCTTGAGAAATGGCTTGCAGTGCCTAAAAACATATTTAAGGACCAGATGATACACTGGGGATCCAGACAGTCAGTAGAAACTGGCTCCAAACCTCAAGGGAAAAGAAAAGTGGGCTCAACCAGTGGTCTGAGTGGTCCAACGAGGCTTTTTAAGCATTGAGCCTATTGCTTTTTCTCTTTGGCATTTTAGAATCTAGGTCCTTAGGAATGCCTGAAAATATGGCCAAGAAAGGACTGGAAAATCAAAACAAAACAAAAAACTCGTAAAGCTTTTTCTATGGATATATATGAGGGAACCACTCTGGGGACAGAGAATTCCACAATAAGTTTATAAAATTCTGGTGAACCTAGACATTATTTAAGAACAGATGCAGGACTCTTCACTCAAAATAAGCCATCATCCATTGTTGGACTAATTAGATCTCCCAAAAACAATTTGCTACTTCGAAGTATGTTTAAGGCAAAGATCTTTACTTTTCAGCCTAAGGGTGTAAAGCCCTCAGCTTCAGGGCTTGGTTCCGGGAGTCTTACTACTTTGTGGTCCAGAACCAGCAGCATTCAGCATCACTGGCATCGTTTTAAGAGCTTGTTAAAAATGCAGACTCTCCAGGCGCAGTGGGTCCCACCCATAATCTCAGCACTTTGGGAGGCAGAGGTGGACGGATCACTTGAGGTCAGTTAGAGACCAGTCTGGCCAACATGGTGAAACCTCATCTCTACTAAAAATACAAAAATTAGCCAGGTGTGGTGGTGCACACCTGTAATCCCAGCTACTTGGGAGGCTGAGGCACGAGAATCGCTTAAACCCAGGAGGCGGAGGCTGCAGTGAGCCCAGATCACGCCACTGCACTCCAGTCAGGGCAACAGAGCAGGACTGTGTCAAAAAAAAAAAAAAAAAAAAAAAAAAGCAGACTCTCAGGCCTAGCCCCTGACCTACGAACTCATAATCTGCATTTTAACAAGATCCCCTGGTGATTCCTATGTACATCAAAGCCAAGAAGCACTACCCTAAGTAACTCCCGCTATGAATACACATACTAATGAGGCTGCCATGTTATGGTGAATTTAAAGGGCAGAATCACAGAAAGATAAAATGATGGAGTAACTGCCAAGGTTCTGACTAGTAGAAGTATTGTAGCTCAGGTAGTCAACATGCTGAACAAGATAACTTTTCTTTTTGTGTTTTTCCTTTTGTAAACCTAAGGATAAAGAAAAAAAATAAATGTCCAAGATTCACTTACCCATTGATAGATGTTCTAGACATAAACAGGCTAAAAACAGATGACACAAAAGAATGATATAATTGGATAAATAGCCAGCCCGATTTCTCAATGCTGTTGTTTAAGAAGATCTGTGTTCCTTGATCAAGGTAACTCTGAACAAAGACAGCCTGGAGTGATTCGCATAATTTCTCTCTGTTGCACACATACCACTAAAAAAAAAAGAAGAACAAAAATTAAAACACATAACCAAAGTGTCACCTAAGAAATCCAAAAACAAAAAACCAGAAGACTAAATCAAATCTAAGATTTCCAAATATTACCTACCATCTCATGATACTCTGAGAATAATCATTTCTTATACTCATATAACCTATAAAATATAAAGCACTTCTTCAGACATGACTTCTCATTTCATTTTCTTACAGCCCTCAAGGTAAGTCGAGTGGGTGAGGGAAGGGTGGAGAGGCTTTTGGGTCATTCAGCTTAGTAGGCAGCAGAACAAGACCATAGCTCAGGCACTCGGACTCCCAGCCCAGTGCTTCAGTCACTGTATCCCTGAGATTTAGAAAGCTCTGCTGGCCTCTCTTTCACTGAGATTCAACATCAGAAGGCAAACAGCTGGCAGTATCCTTGCTTTTAGATAAGAAAACAGTCACATAATCCAATGCCTTAACTCAAAACCACCCAACAAACCCAAATAGCAAAGTAAGCAACAGAATTTAACACTCCAGTGACCAGATTAAGTTGCCTTTCTTCTTGTGGGCTATTTAAAAGAGATCTTCAGAAATCTTGAGGTGTGCTTTACAAATAGGTCATATGACATTCCTACAGAGGCAACATGTGCTCAAGAAAGATTAAGAAGTTACTTAAGGTCATACTGCAATCAATGAGAAGACCAAGTAGTAACATGCTAAGACCCAGATTTCCAGGAATTGGCTCTACCCAGAATCCACATTCTAGAACAAAATTCAAGAGCTTCACCTACAGATGAAATTTATAATCTTTCATAATAAATGAGTTAGCATACCAGAGAGGTGGGGAAGCAGACTGTGTATCAGCTTTAGTGTCAGCCCCCAGTCAAGTCCCGGCTCTGCCCTTCCTATGTGAGCTCAGACAAATCACTTAATCTCTGAGCCTCCATTCATTTGTAGAGTAGAGACATCACTGGTGTCTATCTATCCTGGTAGGGTACTACAAGGATTAAATAAGATAATGTAGGCAAGGCCTCAACATAACACAAAGCACATAGTGAGAATCCTACAATAATAATAGCAATGAGATTCCTCTAACATGGCCTGAGAAATAAGAGTAAGCCCCTTAGGTACAGTGATGAAACTACAAAGTATATCAGTTACTATTAACCCATTATCTGTCATGAAACACAAATTTTTCCCAGTCAACCGGCCAAGAGTAATTTGCTTCCGCCTGACAAATATGACCTTTTATCAGCGGTAGACGTCCCATAAGCGCATGCACAATTGGTGGACCAGCTTTACAGTCATCCTAAGCTTACTAAATGTTCAGTGAAATCTTAAGTAACATTCCCGATGCTAACGTTAAAAGGAACTAGTTACAAATCAACACAAACAAAGAGACACATTAAATCTCAGAGATTAATCATTTTACAAACTCTGTTCTCTAAACTGGGTGAACTAAGCCTTTCCAGTTGTGGACTGATTTGTGCTAATTTGCCATTTCATCACAGTTATCAAAACTGCTTGGACTTCATATATAAAACTATTTTTATTTTTCCTACTCTATATGACAAGCTAGGAAGCTTTTTACATTCACTGCCTACATTTTTTTCCCTCGGTCTGAAAATGTTCTCACTTAATGATTTTCTAATTCTTAATACTCATTGTGCCTGAAGTTATGCTCCAGTGCAGGTCATAAACCGTTTTTTATTATACTCATGACCTCCTGGTGCACGTTCTGAACTCTGTAATATGGAGGCCACTCTGACTTTTATTTATTTTTTATTCTCTGAAATGGCTAATCAAGATGAAAGCCATCACCTTGATAAAAGGCAATCAGGTGCATTCTATTAATGTGGATGAGAAGTCATTCAAGTGAAACAGAGAAGCTAAGAATTCCTTGGCATCCACTTGTAAATGGACTAGAACAACAATAGATTCTGACTTCCAGAACCAAGCAGGAACTGGCACCATTAACTGCAAATAGTGCTTTCAAGCACCAAGAGGAAAACTCAAGTTTTTAATAGCATTTTTCTTAATTCATCAACATTAACACGTGTGGTTGAACGTTTACTGTCACACAGGTCTTTCAGGAAAGAAACTGCCTATTGAACAGAATGTGCTACAGAACAAAAACAGAGCAAAGCTCTTCTCTGTAAAAAGAAAGGTGAAACGTATGTCCTTTCTGACCATTTGCATGACACAAATGTCGATTTCACAGCAGCATTGCCAGAAAGTGAAAACAAGTCAAATGTCCATCAAATAGTGGATAAACAAGATGTGATAATAGATTCATATAAAATAATAGCATATTCTGCCATACAAAGGAATGAAGCACTACTTCATGCTCCAACATGGATGAACCTTGACAACATTATGCTAAGTGAAATAAGTCAGTCCACAAAAGACCGCATACCGTATAATTTCACTTCTGTGAAATGTCTTGAATATGCAAATTCAGAGATAGAAAGTAGATGGCAGATTGTGGCTGCCAGGGGCTGGGGAGCTGGGACAATGTGGAGTGGCTGCTAATGGACATGAGGTTTCTTTTTGGGGTGATGAAATGTTCCAAAATAAATACTGGTGATGGCTGCAGAATGCTGTGATTATATTAAAAATCAATGGATTGCACTCTTCAAAAGGATACATTCCATGGTATGTGAATTATATCCCAATAAAACTGTTTTTTTAACACACACACACCCCTCCCTAAATATGTAGGTGGCAGTTAGATCTTCCAGAAATTAAAAGTGGCCTGAAAACGTAAGTAACTTAGCAAACCTCTTAAAATACAAATTTTAAATGCAAATCTGATCACATCACTACCCTGCTTAACAGGAACCTTACGATAACATTCAAAATGCTTAATATGGCTTACAAGGCCCTACACAATTTTTGTTCATTCTATGTCACCAGCCTCACCTCATGACATTCCCTACCAACCCATGACCCCTGGACCCTCAGTCCATCACACTGCTCCAGCCCTTCGTTCTTTTTTCTGGAAGGCCCCTTTCCCGTGGCTGTCTCACATGGTATTTGCTCTGCCCCCCACAATTCCCACCACCTAAACCACTCTCTCTTCACCTGGTTCGTTCAACTTCAGCCTAAATATTTCCTAGGTATATTTTCCTTCAAAAAGAAAATATACCTAGGAAAGGCTAGGCTAGGCCCCCTGTTCTAATACCCTTTCATACATCCCATTTGTCCCTTCAGTAGTATTTACAATCTCTGGATTGAGTAATTGTAGACAATTGCATATTCAGTGCCTATCTTCCTAGGTAGACTGAGAGCTTCATAAAGGCAGAGAAAATGAATGGCTTCAGTGCCTGGCACAGATACAGACAAACAATAAGTGTTCATCTACAGGCAGTCTAAACAGATAGAATTTGGAGTTTCTAACAAAATCCTAGAGGAAACATAAGGATAACCACAGAGACCGCTGCCATGGGGTTTCTGTCAATTTCTGAAACTCTGCAAGGCCTTGCTTAAACCTAATTTTGCAAACAGTGGTTAAAGCTACCCACTCACCACAAAATTACATTACCACAAGCAAGGAAGCAAGCGATGAAGGAAGACACCAACTGAGCACCTATCATGCACCAGGCACCAAGCCAAGTGCTTTACATTTCATTTACCACCTTGCAACTTCTGAACAAATGGGAAGCCTAGGGTCTCTAAGCAGCTCCAGCTGATTCAAGCTCCTGCTCCAGGTACCCGTTGTTTTATAAGCGTTTCTTTCAAAGAAGCTTCTCTTCGCTTAACTCTACCCAGTGTGTCTGCTAAAGAAAAGAAAGCAGGACTATCCTGCCAATTAAACAGAACTAGATGTGTGTAGAGAAAAGATAACCTGGTCTAGATAGTAACGGAAGTCCTGTAAGCCAGGGTTTCTCACCCTTCACACTACTGACATTTGGAGCTGAATGATCCTCTGTTTCACGGGCTGGCCTGCACATTGTAGGATGTTTAGCAGCATTCCTAGCACTTACCCATCAGGTTCCAGTAGCACTACCCCCAAGGGACAGCCCAAAATGTCCCAGGCATTGCCAAATGTCCCCGGGAGGCAAAACTGCCACTGCTTGAGAACCCATACATGGACTTACCCACAAAATGTCACTGTACTGACTCTCCAGTAATGTTTCCCACTATCCCAGCCTAACTATGGTCTAGGGACTCCAGCTGACTGAATTAAAAGATGGACTCGATTGCCTCAGGGAACCTACATTCCAGAGTGAAAATAAAATCAGAAACCAAGGGAAACAAGTAATGTGACTATGATCTTGAAGAGGAGCTTCACAGCCTTAAAGGAGCAGTCACCTTGCCCTTAAGGTGAAATACCAGGGAGAGAGAAAATCTGCAGGAACCCCTGTAACCCAATGGGCAGGCCTCCTGGTTTCGCCTCTCTCCAGACAACCCAGCTTAGATAGAAAGCTATGCTGAGCTCACAGCACTGGGTGGCTTGTCTGTAGGCTCCCGTGTACTTTCAAGCAGGTGAGTTCTTTGTTTTTGTTTGTTTGTTTGTTTTTGTTTTTGTTTTTTTGAGATGGAGTCTCCCTCTGTCTCCCAGGCTGGAGTGCAGTGGTGCGATCTTGGCTCACTGCAACCTCTGCCTCCTGGGTTCAAGTGATGCTCTCCCCTCAGCCTCCCAAGCAGCTGGGATTACAGGCACTCACCACCCCACCAGGCTAATTTTTGTATTTTTAGTAGAGATGGGATTTCACCATGTTGGCCAGGCTGGTCTCAATCGCCTGACCTCAGGTGATCCACCTGCCTCGGCCTCGCAAAGTGCTGGGATTACAGGTGTGAGCCGCCGCGCCCAGCCGCAGGTGAGTTCTTTGAATGTGTGCTCCTCAAAGACTACAGAAACAAAGGTGCACAGGCAAGAACAAAGTACTATGCTCGTTAAATTCACACACTGACAGGACTACGTGCCCGCCCTACTGTGAGGCTGGACTCCTTGGCTGGAGCCTATCATATCTGAAAAAGCATCTTATTAGCATCTGCCTTTAAAGCTCACT